ACATGAGGTAAATGTGAGGAAGCTGCTAAGATGAAACGACTACAGAAGATTGGGTCATTGAGGTTGCACGTAAAGCTGTGGAGAGAACAGCTCAAGTTAAAAGATTTAGTGAGAGGCAGTGTGTGGAACACCATTACTGATTATTGCTATCTGCAGTTGAAGTGTTTACAGGTGCACTATTAGGCAGCTCGTAAGAGTTCCTGTTTCTGCACTGCTTGTCTTGACCCATCTTACTTTTCAGTGCTGCATTCAGATGGATGATATGTTACCTTACACTGGTATCTACACAGGTTAGAATCCCTTCTGTTCATAATTATTCTGCATCTTTTACAAATGAAATTTGGTCTCCAGCAGCTATCAGTCCCACCTTCCACTACTTGGGCACTAACCTCAATTCCTTTATGTGCGTTTCAGCACTGCAACCTTTACCTCCAAACCAAAGAAAGCAACATATCTTCTCTTATTTATTTTTTTAAGAGAGCAGAACTAAGAACTAAGAACTAAGAGAGCAAACAAAAAATCCAACACAACAAAAATTAAAAAAAAAAAAAGCCACCAACTTACTTTCCCTCATGGAGGATTTCATTTTGAATACAAGACTCCTACCACTGCTCACCTGATGTGATCGGAAAGTAGCTATTCAACATCATCTGCTGATTCCCTACCCTTTACTCATCTCTGTGCCAAATTAGTCACTCATTTCTAACATCCTATTTTTCATTCAGCACACCTCCACACACCATTGTTTTTCATTCAAGTCATATAGAATATAGCAGCAGATAAACAGAAGGTAAACAAAACAATCATAATTCTCCCAGCTCTTACTTTCTGAAGTAATGTTTAGAGAAGGACAACAGCAACTGCCTTTCCAGGAAAATACAAGGGCAGTTTTCAGCACCTTTCAGTACATGGTAGGCCAAAGGCTCCAGAGGAATGTTAGGGTACATCAGATTCATGTAATACATTATTACATCTGTAGATATGGCTATAAAAAAATAAAACTCACTATTTAAAATTAACACCTTGATTATTTTTTTTTTTATTATTAAGTATGGATTAAAAACTCTTCTTCAAAATATCTTTAGTTTACAAGAATTGTGCTGAATATAAATGCACTACCGAAAGCACAGAAACCTGTAAGCTTGAAATATATGTCAAATATAAAAAAAACAACCCAAAGCTGCTCCCCATCAGAGTACTTCAACTGTCACGACTTTAGGAGAAAGCAGTTTGGCATTCACTCTTTTCAATGTTTAAAGAAAAGGGTCTTATTGGAAGAATGTTTCATACTAACACATTCTTTGTGTTATAACAGAAATTACTACTAATAAGACTGTTACCAAGTTCACCTTTTCAATATGTGTCGTAATTTGAGCAATTGTCTCCTATCCAAAGAAAATAAAAATTCAACAACACTGAGTCTTACAGAACCGTAACAAAATCTTTAACCTTCAGCTCTCTGGATCTGTTCAGAAATAAGTAACAGAGTTGTGATATGCAAACAGTTCGTTTATTTTCAATAAAATTACTGCTGAGTAAGCAGGAAATGTATTCAATAATACTGCTTTAATTTTCAAAATACCACGTTCCTTTGTTTCCGTGTATGCGAGGCATCAGAAGCACAGCTAGGCAAATAAATCACTGCGTGAGACGGCAGCCATCCTCCAAAGAAACTGTCTATGTTAAAACTAATTCCAAACTTATCACGTGAGCACTGAAATACCCATCTGCGGGACTGGAAACGAGCACTTGAGAGGCCTTCCTTCCTTCATGCGTAGATATGAAGCTGCTATCTGTAAAGAATACATATTATCATTATAGAAATGAATGTGTTGCTGAAAACCAGATCATGTCTGTAGTGAGGCACTGGAAAAAATGCAAGTGTGAAACTTTTAGATACTCCATACATACGCTGTATGATGTTTATTTTATGTTTATCCTGCCAATACAAACATAATGGCACTTGGCAAACTCTGTGCAGAGATTGGATTTTTTAGATAGCAGAATTTCAAGTTCAAAGCAAATTGTTTATTTTTCACCTCAGTATTTCTATTCCCCATTACCAACAACTGGCTCTTTATTTTCCACTAGCAACAGAGTTCCAGATGCTGTAATGTACACAACGAGGTGGGTGTCCTAAATACGTCGGCAAAATCTCTCAACAGAGGAAGTTATTTATCTATTTATTTGAAGTCACTTCTGCCAGCATTCAGAAATTGCATATAAATTAGTAAGCATCTTCTTGTGAAGGCAACATCCAACAAAGATGCAAAGACTAGAGTGCCAACCCATAAGCACAGCAGGAAACAGAAATCCAGTCTGGTTCTTCTGCTCCTCCTTCTGGAGGTCTGGACAAAAGATCTTGGTTAGGTACACTTTGATCATTTTGGTCCCCGTTACTGTAAAAGCAAAGAGCCATCAGTCTATAGCGGGATGGCCATCGCGCTTGTCTTCATCACCTGTTTGTGGACATGCTGGTTTGTAAGCATGGAATACATCCAAATGTTTTTCTTTTAAAAATTCTTTATGTAATACATACTGTACCTACCTTGATGAGGTAGAGATGTATCAATCTCTACAAAATACATATATATACTATTAAACAGATAGGTTTCTTAAAAATTCCGTATATAAACTCCAACTTTTGTATACCTGGGGTACATGTGTATACGCATATGCTCCCTTACCATCACATGTCCTGTATATAGAGGTGTAAGAACATTCAAACATATACATGTAGTTTTTTTGCACAGGATAAAATAACCCCACAAACACAGGGATTTAAACTTGCAGGATGCAAGGCATACTGTATGCATTCATAAAAGTAGACTTTGATGATGTGACAAAACCTACACGTGAGAAATATAATAGCAATACAACTGCACTCACTCCGGTACATGAAGTGGGTTTTCTTGAGAACACCAAATGACAAATGCTATGTCAGAATGAAGTATTATTTAATCTTCAAGTCTAAATTTTCGCACGTAACTCACAAATTGAACATATGCATATTCAGTGGAAGTGTCTTTAATATGAATGCTTTTTTGTTAATTCTGTTTTTGTTCACATAGATTGAAATGTCAAAACAGCAAACATGAAAATATTTGAAAAAGGGCTCAATTTTGCCAGAAAATAAAGTCAATTGTCAGAGTCAAATATAATTCATGTAGGAATCTAGAGTACCCTAGGTGGAAGAGGTGTATTTACACTACAACTTTCAAGCAGTTTCATATATTTCCTTCCTATTAGTGGATTAGCTAGTGCTAAATATTAATAATCTGAGCTCATAAAAAGTAAAAAAACTCCATGCTTCTGAAATCATAGCAAATTATTCTTAAACACTAGTATCAAGATTACAGTCACTGTTTGCTTTTTACATATGAACTACAGATCACAGAAAGTTTCCTGTTGCACTGCAGCATGAAAAAGAAATGTGACACAAAAGAAGCGTAATGTGCTGCGAAGTACAGCAGGATACTTCTGCAATCTCATAAACATTTCATACTGGAACTTGTTATAAGCGAGTTCAACTTGATCTTTTAATGTAATACAGTACATTTTATAAACTTAACATTATCACTGTAGAAGAGCATGCTAACTGAATGTTAGCAATTTATCTTTTATATATAATTATACTCTACTGTAGCTACCGTACGCAGATCTCAAAATGTTAGTACATAAAATATTCATTTTCTTTATGAGATGAGAATGAACTTAAAAGAGGCTTGAAGATAAGAATGAAATATTTGCAGTGCCTATTTCTCAAGAAATAATGAATGACACATTATAACCCAAGAAATCAACATTTAAATTGCAAAACTAAAGTTAAATTTACATTAAGCATTATGATCAGTAATGTGCATCAATATTTGATGAAGTTTAACCTAACCATGTTTATGCACATAAAGCATCAAGAGTCTGCAGCAGTTTCAACATCAATTTTTCATATTTTTGTATAAAATGGACTCAAAGATACATCTTCCATAAATGTTTTCAGTGCAATTCTGTCAAAGAGGAAAATATAAAGCTAGCTTTCAGTCATTTTAAAGGGGAAAAAAACCACAACAATCAACTTGCATTTGCACTGCTGAATCCTAAGTAAGCCAGTTCAGTTGTGCCAACTATTTTGAAGTCAACTCAAACCAAAGCTAGTTACCATTTTAGGCAGCATTTCTCCATACCAACAGGTGTAAATGTTGAAAAGCTGAATACTGGGGTGGGGGGAGAGTAAAATTAAGCACAGGCAGAACAATCTAGTTTAAAAGCACCTTTTTCCATCAGTAACAAAAAATACATAATGAAAAAAAGTCTAAAGGTTTCTTTACTAGCAACATTCTAAGTTCACAAATCGGTAAATCCATGTTTCAGTATTATTATTCATCCCACAAACATTTACAGGTCACCTTGCGACTATCATGTATTTCTTGATGGATTATATGAAAATGCTCCATTACTCAATGGGATCAATTTTCTGAAGTTAGAAATTGATTTTTTTCACATGTTGCCAACTGTAGGGAACCAGAGAGAGAACAGCACATGAAATTGTAATACGTGCTTGGTATATAGGTATAATACCCTATACATTTTGGTTTTCAAAGACACAGTTTGTAAACTGTAGAACTGCATACAGGGTGTTGACTTAGGAATTTTGTTTTGATTTCTTGTTTTTCTCCCTGGCTTGTACCTAAAAATACAAATACAACTTCTCTACTGTAGCATAAAATAAAAACGGAGCTTCATTCAAATCCTGAATACCTTGACTGCAATCACCAACAGCTTGACTGCAGTCATTCAACAGAAATGTAGCTCTTCATACCAAAAAAATTTGGCTCACAAAAAAAAGAAAAAAGTACAATAAACTCTCAACAGAAGGCTCTCTCATGAGGCAACCTACCATATACTACTGCTAGATACGAGTTTCCAAAAAAAAACATTACATCCCATTTTCAGCACATTTTTCATAAACATGCAACTTCACTATAAAATACAAAACACTTGGCTCTCAAGAACAGCTTTATAAAGACACACTGCATCAATAAAATTTTCTTTGTGATTAACTTTACATTGTAATAAGAACTGTATTTTCACTAATGTTTATATATCAGATTTCATATTATAATGTAGTAATAATTTGCTCTTTGTGAACGTCACGTTCAGAAGGAAATATCTATACACATTAACATACTAGACTTAAAAACTCAGTTACAGAATTTTATTGATACAGTAGATTAATAAAAACTGATGGGGAAGATAAAATGGGTAGGGCTTCAGTACATTATTTAATAACACACTTTTAAAATTATAATATTTTAAATCTTTCTTGAATTTTTTTCAATGCCACTAGAAGTCCAGAAAAGTCTGGCATCAATACTGAGGTGTAAAACAAGTCAAACAACTTTCACAATTTGCATCTCTTGTGTTATTCTATCCAACATTGTTCAACTGTAAAAGAAAGTGATTTAGCACCTCTGATGGTAGGTAGGTGCCTACAGGTAAACACCAGGTCAGATTCACAAAGCAAACAAACATCATTGCATTTCTTCTCAACAAATAGTGGCAAAAGAAAGTAGCACTATTTGTTCAACTGATTTTTTTTTCACAGTTAAATGTCAACAAGAGTACAAATACGAACACTGACAGATATTGCTTGAGATCATTCTTAAATCAATAGATCCAATAAACAGTGGGGCACTGTCAGTTTAAAGCTGCAGATAAAAGCTATACAAGCACTTTAGAAGTCAGAAACATTAAAAAAACTATTTACAGTTTTCTTCTTTAGTTCATATGTCTACAAAGCCAGCGCACATTACACTTCACAAAAATCCACAGTTAATGATATCAACGTGTGTGTGGCTAAAGCTTGTGACCTAGGGACTGCAAATGCAGGGGCAGTAAGAGTAAAATAGGTTTTGTCTTTTTTTTTTTTTAGCAACCCCATTTGTGCACTAACAGCTTTGTTCAGTCTCAAGCTTTATATTAAAAGCATTCTTCAAAGCTTTCACCTGGAAGGCTGACAACTACATGCTCACTCATCGCCTTTCCCTTTTGGAAGTTCTGCGACGCACCTGTTTGGGGAAAAAGTATTTTAAATATTTGCACAGAAATACTAAGTTCTGAAAAAATCAAGAATAAATATAGTCTATAATGGAAATGCATTTAGAAAATGCTTTCTCTCACAATATTGCATAAGAAACTGACTACAGTATCATTCATCACTCCTTTTATCCTAAGTACAAGCCTTGATCAATGACAGCATAATTTTATTTACGTTACCAACCCTGAATTCTTCAAATATTAAAAAAAATAAGCTAGTCACATTACTCACTATTACAATCTAGCTGACAAGAAAAGGTATGAATTACCTGGAAATCCCCATGAAGCTGTGTGCAGATCAGATAGGTAACAAAAGCTATGCAGGACAGTAAACTTAAGACTCTTAAGAAAAACTTAACATTTTCTGTCTGAGAAATGCAAATTCCCTATGAAACTACATTGCAGTGCTGATACACAACACTGACATTTGACCACCACCACCTCATTCTTTTTAAAGAAGGAAGGTTAAGTTATGGGAACAGGAAAAGTCAGTCTTCAAACACATCAATACAAAGACAATCCTACAGACTCAAAAAAAAAAAAAAAAGCATGCAAAACAGAAGGCATTTCTTACATTGATTGTGGAAACTTCCTCTTCTTCCATTACTTCTTCCTGGGGAACATCATCACTGACAGGTGAACTACTCTGAAATACATCCATCTCTTCACTGGATTCATTCTCCTTACTAGCTGCTTGTTTGGAACGTCCCGCACGGCTAAAATCAGAAGAAAAATACAAATCAGTTTCATGCTATATGGGTCTGCAGATGCATCAGCTTTGCAAGAGAACTAACATTCATTTGATAAGAACAGCAGCCTTAAGTTTTCCATCTATGACATGTTTCTACCTTGTGTGCTTTTTTAGTTCATCTGTACAAAGAATAGTTGACATATTAATAGGAATCTGAACAACAGCAATTGGAAGCCAGTTTCTTTCAGAATACAATGCCAGGAATACAATGGTGAACAATGTCTTTCATCTATGGACAGTACAGGTATTGCTCTTCAGTGTCAGACACAGCGCAAGGAAAGCTGACACAACAGTAAACCAAGAAATGGTCTTAAGTTAAGGAGGGAAGATTTAGTTTGGATACCAGTGGGAAATTCTTTACTAGGAGAGTGGTGAGGTGCTGAAGAGGCTGCCCAGAAGGGTTGTGGATGCCCTGTCCCTGGAAGTGCTCAAGGCCAGCTTGGATGGGGCCCTGGGCAGCCTGGTCTAGAATTAAATTCTAGAGGTTGGCAGCTCTGCCTATGGCTGGGGGGTTGGAGATTCATGATCCTTGAGGTCTCTTCCAACCAGAGCCATTCTGTGATCTGTGATTTATACACCACAGAATTTTAATAACTGCGTGTATATCATTTTACAGACCTAGAAGAGCCCACATACTGTTATTTATGAAGTTAACACTGTAGTAGACCTAAAGCTTCCAAACTAGCTCATACTAAGAGCTAGGGATAAATCAGCAATACTATCACCCTAATCAGGATAATCAAGAACAATCAACAATATCGTGTATTTTGTTAGTTATTAGAGCTGAATCACAAGCCAAAAAAAAACCACAAAAAACAACCAACACCCAAAAAACCCTAACCATATGCTGAAAAGGAGAGGTAGGCCTCATGCTCTCCCTGCTTTAAAAACAAGAAAATGAAACCTGGATACGCATCTAAAACTAAAGGCTGCACTCACATTACCATTTTGGTTTGTGTAGTTCACATAGTTTGCAATTAAATCATTGATTCATGCCTTTTGCTACTCTTTGGTTTGGTCTGTGAAATAGTCTTGATGCACCCAAACTAGGTGACTTCTTGGATGAAATTAAACTAGAAACTCCATTCCAGATAGACAATTCACTTCAGTCCTCATTGGGGGTGATAGAGGTCCATAACAACTGTCCTCCAACAGCTTCATACCATAGATGAAGGGAATTTTCAGTCACAAGAACCACAGCTCAGAATAAAACCACCAAATTACACATAATTAAAGTACAGAGGGAGTTTCAGAACCAACCAAACAACATGGCAACCTCTGAAAAATCAATAGCTTAATTGAGGCCTTCTAAGACTGACAGAAGCAACACAATCAAAAGGAAGCAGGAGAATTATTCACAGGCTAGCTTCATCTTCTCACATATGGCTGAAGAGGCAGGAAAACAATACTGGAAAAGTCGGGATACTGTGAGTGCAAAATGCCAGAACATGAGATTAGGCGAGAAATTGGAATTTCATGGAGGATACAAACTTGCTCAGGCAAGGATTTCAGGTATAGAAAAAACAGACTGACGAGGACAGGCAAATAGGACAGGCAAGTCTGGATCCTGCCAGAGGAGAAGCCCAGACTCTAGAAAAACAATACTGGCAACAGAATAACAAAAAAAGGCCAGAATGGTGATGTGTATAAGTAGCACCCTAAGGAATTTACTACCAGATTCTGGAAAGGTATGTTGCAAATTTGTTCCATGTTCCAGTTATTATTTTCCTGTCCACTTGTACACCTCTGCTTTACATATACTGCACGTACATTTAAAGAAAAGGCAGAGATACCAGTAGTTTTTACAGGAAGCACAAGAAAATTAAACTGGTCACAGTTTATTTTGTAGCTCAACACAACTTAGAATTTTTAAGAACTGTTCTCTGTAGACCATAAAACATTTTATTATACATTACCTTAAAAATAAGGAGGCCATAAATTAGAAAGTCAACGGAAATAAATTTAAGAAGAACCAGAGTATATTTATTTATTATTATATTTATTATTTATAAAATATTTATTTATACTCTTCACCATATCATTTCACAGTAGTAACAATTTGATTCTTCCTCCCTATCTAAAACAGTAATGCTTCTTATTCCTTGCAGTCTTTATAAAGCCCTATCCTCAAGGCCCTCACGTGTTGTGCTGACCTTTCTCCTAGGAGAGCAGTGCTACATATACGCTACCTGAGCACATTAAATTTACTCATGGCCTATTTGCTCTAGTTTGAGATGCTCTAGGAGAGGTAGCTGGGGAAAACCTTTTAGAAATAGTAACAGCAATTTATTTTCATAACTGAAAGTTAAAGTACTCTGAAATATTTTCAGCAAATGATTGCTTGGGGGCACAGAGGAATATTTTTAAATTTACTAAACACAAATTCAGAAAATATTCACCACTTACACTTTTTTTTGCTGTGATGGTGGTGTTTTTGATGACCTTCCTCGTCTGTTCTGTGGCGTAGACTGTGCTGATTCAACTGTACTAGATTCAGATGGCTCTGCTCTGTTTTGAGGAAGACCCAAATTGCAAAGTATCAAATTATAACTGATGTCAAACAATACAAAAAGAGATGCACTTACAAGAAGACTGACTTACCTCTGCTGAGCTCTTTTTGTCGACCTGTTTTGCCTGCCTTTTGGCTTTTGTTCAATGTTTTCAGTCTGCCTTTCTTCTTCCTCTTCCTCCTCCTCTACTGCTGCTGCTGACGTTTGTTTTTTTTTGCTCCTTTTTGATGACTTTGCTGCTGGCTCTTCCTTTGGTGTTCCCCCATTATTTGGTTTGGGAGGCCGTCCTCTTCTCCCTTTCTTTGGCGGACTGTTCTGTTCATCCTCACTTTCTATTACATCTTCTTTTAGCCTTTTTTCCTCTTGCCATTGTGTTTCATCAGACTCTGAAACAACTGCAGGTCTCTTCCTTCCCCGCTGACTGCCTCTGAGCTTCTGCTCTTGTCCCAGTTTATTTAGGTCATCTATGCTTAGCTTCTCTTCTGAGTCTGTGATAGCTGGTTTCTTCCTTCCTCTAGGCTTCTCAAGTTCTGACTGAAAAGGTAAGATTAAATCTCAAATTAAAAAACTGAATTACTGTATTAAACTGGTACATGCACAGAAGCTGAAGAACTCTAACCCAACAAGACAAAGAGTCTTGAAGTTAGATGAAATTCTACCAAGCATCTCTACAGTGTCCATTTCCAAACCTTTGCACAAGTGTAAATAAATATATACACACACAATAATTGCCACAAAGAAAGATTAATTTAAAACAGAAGCAATTAAATCACAGAAGTGTATAAGGTCTTTCTCATTTTGTTTCCTCATCTGTGGCAAACACAATTGGGTTGAATGTACATGACTGCAGTTTTGTCAGTAGGAAAATAGAAAGACAGGATAGACATGGTCGAACGCCTCATCAACATTCTGAGGCTTGAACTCTGCTGTTGAGTTCCCTTCAGGAAGTTGCAGAGAGCAGTGAGGCCTCCCCTGAGCCTCCTCTTCTCCAGACTGAACAATCCCAGCTCCCTCAGCCACTCCTCATAAGACTTGTGCTCCAGACCCTGCACCAGTTTCGTTGCCCTTCTCTGGACAAGCTCCAGGGCCTCAATGTCTTTTTTGTAATGAGGGGCCCAAACTGAACACAGTACTCGAGGTGTGGCCTAGCTCCAAAGAAACAAAAATGAATTCTGAATCTATTACCTTAAGCAGTTTTATTATATATTCAAAATGAGATATAAATGCCCTTAGGAGTACTTGAAATATTGAACTGTATTGATTTTTGTCAGTTATCAATTCAGCCCACAGCCTCTCAACTACTGCATGTCAGGCCCTTCAGATTTACATCTGATGCAACATACCAAACCAAGCTCTTTAAAAAGTTGCTTATCCAAGGTGGAAGTTTTTTTCTTCAACTATTTTCTTGCTTTCCCTTACCTGAATTAAGCTGTCAAAATGGTTTTGTAATTAAAATAAATGAAGTTCTATGTAAGCATTAACGTATTAATTCACATTATGCCATTTAGACTTTTGAGCATACAGAATGCACGTGTATATATGGCAATACTGGTCTGAAAAATTTAAAGCTGAAAGTCGAATGTAAGAAATAAAATTGTGTTGTGCTTAAAGAGTTGGGTTGTTTTTTATTTTTTTTCTTATGCTGCCTGTTTGCTTCACCTACAAAATACTACAGCATAGGATGGTTATCTGGACTTCAAGACAAGTAAAAGTCCAAGATAGTTTTACTAGTCAGTAGCTTTCTATGTCCCAGGCAATGGGACAGAGAAATGTCCCAAAGAAGAGAAATGTGACAAACTGACCTAACAGAACAGAGGGTCCAAAAAACCCGAAGTAGCAGTGACATCAGATACAGCATATTCTTAATACGTTCTAGAATATCAAGTTTTAATAGATTTGATCTCATTCATAATGTCTAACTAATGTATAACTTAAATTACTACAATTATGACAGACAGCCAAAAGTTAAGGAACAAAAAATAGTTTACTAATGATATGAGTTTCTTTTTATTCAAACTGTTAATAGAACTATAATTTTCTTCATTTTTTCCTGCATTCTGATATAATGTGTAAATGTTGCTTGAGACTGAATATCCAGCCTGTTAATACATAATAAGGGAAATCCTGTGAGACTCCATTGATCTATAACTACCAGTTAGCTAGCTGACTCTGCCCTAAAGCCTATGGCAGATCACAGCATGCACAGACATTTAAAATCATGCTATAGCTTCTGCTTGTGATACCTATCATTCAGAACCATCCAATTTCCTGATTTTTCCCACCTTCACTGCTGTACAAATTATGTGCAAGAAAACAAAATCCATATGGCTGTTCAGATAACTCTTACTTGAATTTCTAAATCCAATGTGAAATCGGAATGCCCTTTTCCTATTCAAGATAACCTACGACTAGGCAGTTGCTATTCCCTATAGTTTTTGAAAAACACCACAGTTGTCTGGAAAAGAACATGTCTTCACATCAATAATGGCACAACACCAAAAAAGGTAAGAATTACAATACTTCAATGTAATACATCAGCACTGTAATTGATGTGTTAACATTTTGCTAGCTACAAGCAAATAAACCATTTACAAAAATAATTTTTACAACCTCAGAAGGCAATCTGATATCTCAGACAGGTTAATGTGCTCCTCCGGAATTCCTGTGTAGTTGAACATTCTGAAGTTAGTCCAATTAATTCTTACAAAGTCATATTTTCACTAACCAGACACATACAAAAAACTACAGTATACTGGGAAACAGAAGCCCAAGCAAGGTATCAACTTGACCAACGTTTCAAGTACTTCATCCATGAAATCCAAACATCAGACTAATTATGGACTAATTGCCATCAACCTCACTTTAGCACAATCTACTTTCAAAATCCTGCAAATCGTAACAGACAATCTTGAAAGCTTACTCAAGTTGTCAGTATGACACAAAGGTAATGTAATCAGCCAAACTGAACTTTTTTTTTCATTCCATTTTTCATCTCTAAGCACATCCTTCAGCAAATGAAAACATTACCTCAGTTTCACGTTAGAAAAATATTAAGTATCAGCATATTCATTGTTATTTTAATGTCTTTGTGACTGAAAATGAAACATCTGTAATGCAACCAAAAGGCTCACCCTTACAAGATCAGAGTCGTCCCTTTTATCAGTTTTCTTCCCTGGTAATGGTGAACTCAGTGTGAAGTCTTCATTTTCACTGTGGTCCATTTCAGTGCTATCAAGCCTAGAATCAATAAACATTTGTTCTCCTTATTATTATAATATAGCAGGCAATCATTTTATATATATATATATATATATATATATATATATATATATAACCTTCAGAAGGAATCTATTCCTAAACCATGAACACTCTGGCAGAACCTTTCACTCAGACTATTACAGCTATCACGGGATACCACAAACAAGAACATCTAAGGGCAAGGGGTCAATCACAAGCTAGTATGTTCATCTCAGTTAAAAACAAAAAACTAAAAAAAAAACACAGCTGATCTTTTTGAAACAGAAAAGCCTTACTGAGGTACAAAAGATCTGTGTCTGTTTACATTTGCATACCCTTTGCATACCAAAAATCCCCACAGACCAACTAAAGCTCTTTCCTATGGTAAGGTTTGTGCGGTAGAACAGCAGATCTAAATTTCAGAGATAGTTCATCCCCCAGCTTTCTTTAGTTATTTATGTATGTAAAAGCAAGTCCACTTCTATTTCAGTTTCTACACATGTGTAAGTAGGCAATGATTTGTAAAACACTGAGACCCATAAGTAGAGGATAATACACAAAAGTTCCTCTTCATCTGCACCGAAGCTGGAAAAAGCAATTTTAATTTTATTTTATTAAGTAACAGCACAGAGTTCTAACAATAAATAAATATTCTACGCATTAAAAAAGCAAGAGGCATTTAGATACACCAACTCCCTGTACTGGGCACTGCCTAGAGTGAGAAAGACATTCTTCTACAAGGAGAAAATCTGCAGTAAGTTCTGACAGTTTTTATACAGCACCTTAACGGATGGAAGCTTGTGTGAATATATTCAATCATAGTGAATGGGAAATACCATGCATAATGAATCATTACCATCGCTTCTGGTGGACTTTCCTTCTTTGGTGTCACCACTCGAAATGCTAATTGATTTTACTTAAGTGAGCTGGGGAGACCACGAAGATGACAGAGTAGGTTAGGCTGCAAGTGCAGCACTGTTACTTCTTTTAAATAGACTACATGTAGTCTCAGATGCACTTCACTGGATATGAAGAAGATGGATTCTAATCTGCCTTTAATCAATAATGCATTTCTGCATATGAACTTGTATGACTTCTTACAAGTTTGTGTAATTGCCATGGAGTGGTGAAGGATTTGTTGTATAGCACTGCCCTACTTTTCAAATTAATAGTATATATTAAATATTCACAGAAGAATCAACTGAGAAGTCTTAGTTCAAAACATAACTTTCTCTCAGTCTTGAATGAATGTGGGGACCGTGTCATCTCTGAATTTCTCTGTGAAACAAATTAACAATGTGACCTTCAGTTCAATAAAAGATACCAAGATTATAACCTAGAAAATCAAAATAAAACAATGTATAAATTTTATGGACGGCTAGCTAATGACACAACAAATTCTCTAATATTTCAGTATGTCCTTTCCATGATCACAGAATTTAAACTCCAGAAACTTTTATCTGCAAAGTCCAGCACAGATTCATAGAAGAGGAAATTATACTATATCCATATTGGCCACCATATTGGCCTAGTTCTCTATTTCTATGACATATAAACACATTACAGCAGCTTGCAAATTTCCTAGGATCTGCAGATCTAAATATAAATGTATGAAAACCTCTTTTCCTCCTTCAACAAACCTGTAGATGTGATTTTATTCTCTTTTGATGGTTCTTGAATATCGTTTTTTTCTTTCTTCATTTCTCTTTTCTTTTTTTTTTTAAAGAGAAAATTTATTTCTGTTGTTGAAAAGCTCAATTTGTGGTTCCCATTATGCAGTGTGCCACTGTAACTTCACTTTAAAACGATATAATTTTGTTTCTCAAATAAAAAGCATTATAGAAATATTCAAAGTTTCCATTACAAATACTTGAAATATCAAAGCTCCTTTGTTGTCTACCAACCTCCCTTTGATCCTTCCTGGAGAGCTTGGATTTGAACTGCTGCTGGCATTGCTTACAGTTTCCATTCGTGAAGATTTGGATTGAGACTGCTTGCCTGCTGACGAAAGAGGCTTGTTAACCGCTCCAAGAACATTGGCTGCTTTGGGCTGAAACCAAAAATATATTTCCTTTATTTTCAACTAAGCATTTAGATAATATTAACATGTACTATACTTAAAATATTCACACATTTCACTTCCTGCAATCAGGGTTTTGATTACAACGCAAAACAATAAACATTAAAATACTGAAATTATAAGAAGGAAGCTGATAGACTTGCAATCAAACAGGCAGCTGCCACCAAAACCAGTATTATTTTCTCAACACTTATAACTCTGTCCTCTTCTCACTGGTAGTACTGGGCAGTCACCTGACCTTGCAGTAAGTCACTTCAGCACTTCTTTTAAAGTTTGCTTCCTGCAAATGTCACTGCCGGAAGCAGCTCACCATTTGGATTAGATAAGCATCTCAACTGGCAAAAACAGAGGTAGCAGTAGCACAGCACTTTCAGCAAATAAGCCATTAAAGTGACTTAGCTGTAATGGCAAACTACACCAGCTTCAACTGGGAACGAATGAGAGTCTCAAAAGCAAATGTTCCAGAGAAGACTCCAATGATTAATGCACAGATTTGGAAATCGTCAGGCTTTTATTAGGAGCCAAAATTTCCAGACAATGGTGAACTTCAGGTTACTTAAGTGGATTACCTTTCAGATATGCCAAATACCTCTAGCTCATAATTACTTTTGAGAAAGCTGAAAGTGTTCAGTTAGTCCTACAGAGAATAGACCTTTATCCAAACACCTGCTTACAGAAATGGTGAGCAATTAAAGACCATCCCCCAGATTTCACAACATTTAGAATGATCCGTTCTATATTTCAATATTAGATTCTAGCTGGTGACAGCATAAAGAAAAAGCCACAGTGCTAGAATACCTGCCTTTAGAAAGTTAAATATAAAACCTTCTTAGAAAAGCAATTTCAAATTAGGCTACGTGTGAAATATAGAGCTACTGGAAAATCCAACCAAGGGCCACCAAGATGATGAAAATTCAAGAGCATTTCTCAGTTGAAACAAGGCTGAGAGAACAGGGACTTTGGGACCAGATGACCTTTAGAGGTCCCTTCCAACATCAAGCATTCTGATTTTTTATGATAGCAAAACCATGTTACTTGTATTTTAATGTTGTCACAGCAAACTTACTATCAGCGAGCTTGGCACAGAAGTTAAGAATTCTGTCAAGCATGGGATGACAGAACTTAAAACTGACTATCTGAAATTTAAAAGACAAAACTTCTTTTTTAGAACTTTTGTATCTCCAATAAAAAGTGATTTTTAACTCGCTGAGTTCAAATATTTACACACTCAATACAGTGCTTGTATATTTAGATCAGAAAGATTGGCTTTCATCTTTGAAAATAAAGATACCATCATACATATATTTTCCTAACTTGCATTCTACCTCTACTGGAAAGTAGCTGGCTCACAGCTAATGCTCCATTTGCAAAGTTAAGGCTAATGAAGATGCTGCACTTTCACTTCTTTAGCAAAGTAGCAGATAAATGTTTTCCTGTGATCAGGAACAAGATACATTAATCCAGATCAAAACCATAGTATGTCCTTTCCTTTACTAAATATTAAATTATTAACTTCTGTTGGCTTTTTTTGTCTTGTTTTTGTTATTTATTTAAAAGTAATGCAGACAAATCAATTTCCTTGAAAATAAGCAAACAAACACACACCTTTCCAGGAGTGAAAAATGACTTCATTTCTGGAGGAAGATAATTTTTGGTGTTACTAAAATTCTATAAAGAAGGAATAAAAAAAAAAAATAATCAGTGAACAAGATATAAACCTTTTGGAAGTAGTACTAGAAGAGATTTTCATTATATCATTTATAATTTTGAGCTTTCAAACCTGAACTATAACATCTCCTAAAAAAATTACAAAGGCAGAAAAATGCATGTAAACATAAATACTTACAAGAACATAAACACATATCTTCAACTAATTATAATACAGAGAATTCTACAAGATCTACAGAACTCTTGCATTACAACTACTGAAGATTTAAATAGACTTATCTCAAGAAAAATTAAACTCCAAGGTCTACCTTGTCAGGTTGAGTAAAATATCGTGCTGGAAGTACAGGATCTTTAGGGGATTCCAAACTGTATGTTGTACTCTTTGACATAATGATATTCATTGCTACATCACAGACTGTGTAGAGTTTCTGCAAGTAATAAACAATAAAAGTAAAAATGAAAAATCAGAAGGTCATTTCAAAGTCTGACAAAAATATTCTTTCAAGGAGAGGATTATAAGGGGTCTGAGTCAAAAAGAATATTTAACAGCAGCATCCATATTAAACAGTATATCACCAAGTTCTAAAACACAGAAGCAGAAAACCACTGTACACCCAGCAGATAAAGAAAGCTGGCTTCCATGATCTTTCTGCACTTTAAGATTAACATATGTCACGGTTTCAAAGACAAAGTTAAACCCAATCCTTTGGGAAAAGTAAAAAAGTGACACATTTATTCACATAGGCTACTCCAAAAGTAATGCCTCCTATTTATTTCCATGGAGACTACAACAGATACAAAGATCACAGTGACACTATTTGACAGAGACATTCTCATCTTCAATATGCTGCTTTTTAAGCACAGCAACTTCCACTGGTACATATTTTGGCCAGCAATGAACAAGAGCCTGCATTCCATGCTCACAAAAATCGGCACGGCCATCCAGAATGTGACTTGTGTTTCATGATGCCATCAGCAGCGCTGGAACAGCACCCAGCGCCTCGCTGCGCTCACAGCCCCTGTGAGCACATCTCCATGAACGGTCGGCAAGTGTCAATCAATGTCAGAGGCTGCCAGTTTTTCTACATGGAGGAATTCAGTGACGCCTTTGCTTCATACGTACTTCCACACTGAATGCCTTTTTGTCAGTCTGCCCCTCTGCTGCCATCTGTCACATGGCAACAACATTTAAAGGCATACTGGTGAGAAGGTTCAACCTCTATTGCCATACCACCAACATCTGCCTCTGTCATCGTGGGCCAACATCATAAAATAGGAGGCATTACTTTGAGTGCAGTCCTCATATTACATGATGCAAAAACCTCAACAAGATGAGAGCTGATCTGTTCACTGCACAATACAAACATCTCATGAATGTATTTTTCTTACTCTTTCACATTATGGGATGATTTAAAAGAGTAAAACTTTTTGCTTAAATACATCTAAAGGTAGCATTCAGTAACGTTGCTGAGATTGAAACAGAACGATGTCAAACTATTATGTCCTATTGAAACAAGACATCTGTCACCATGTCTGACATCTCAACTGCAATAGCGTATTCACTACGTAAAACAACACATGTCCTCTATACAACTGTAGCAAAAGACATCTTCAAGTTGGTGTGTAAACAAAAGTAGCCAATTTCCAGAGCAATGTCAAAATTAAACGTAGTTACCAATAAAAAGTGTCACCTACTTCATTCATTTTTGCATCATCTGGTCCTTGAGCATCTTTAGTCTGCTTAATATTTTCTACCATTTTTCTGATAAATGCATGACTGTTGTTCTCATTTTTAGCCATCAATATTTCCAGTATGAACCACAAACACCTAAGGAGAAAGGCAGTACTCCTCATGAACAAAGACATGAATAAAAATACTACTGTCAAAAAAGTCACACCTACAAAGTGGTTTACTGAAGTTTTATTAGTATTACAAATCTCCAGGAAACCAATTCATTAGAAAGAAGTAATGAAGGTCAGGATGAGCAGAAGGTGCAGGTATTTCTATAGGGTGCCAAAGAGCACTAAACAAGCACATACACCATTTTCCCACAGTGTTTCACAGTAATAATTGCCATTGTTACACATACTGGACAATGTATCAATGTAACTCATTAAATTAAAATTCTACTTAGAATAAAATTTGATTACTATAATTCTCAGAAATAACAGCATTAAAGACAGTCCTACTCTTTAATGTCCTTTAGTTGCTCGATGTCCTGGACTTTGACATAATCTGGGTCATGAGCTAGAAGATGTATTGTGTAAGGAACAACATACTCTGGTAGAAGCGACAACAGTTTCTCTGAAAAGCAAAAGAAAGATGCATTAAAATACTGCATCTCAAGAAATACATCTTCCTAAAATATTTTCTACAGCAAAGGAAAGAGCAAAAAGAGTCAGCATACACTAACATAAAGCATAAGTACAGGCACGTGCATCTATCATTTCATTGTGAGGCTTTTGTTAATATCTGTCTAATTGTTGACATGTAGATGTTTCATAAATACAAAAACTGAGATTTTAACCATGTTCCAGGGACTGATATTTCCTAGATATCTTGAAAATCAGCTGCAGTTCCCTTTACACCCAAGTCTTTTCCTTGGTTCAAAACCATTATTCTAAAAGACTCTGAGAAGCAGATGATGATCAATCACAAAATCCACGTTAACTGCAGCATCTGAGACCAGCACAACTGCAGAGTAAGCTATTACTTTTTATATACACTGCAGTAAAGAAGTCAAGAGAGTAGAAAAATGTGTTCTCTACAAAAAAAAAAAAAAAAAAAGAGAAGAAAAGAAAAGAAAAAGAAAATGAGAGTTATGAGACTTTGCAATCTAATTGCCACAGAAGTCTTCCACATTACAATAATCAGATGGACCAACTTACTCAGGAGGTAAAAGAATAAGGACTACTACCAAAGACCCTTTGACAGTCCCAATGACAAAGAACACCTTCCATAGGGTAAAAAATTCCCGAGCCAACCATGTAGGAGTTTCAGCATTTCAAAAGTTTGATAAACAGAAAGAAAAAGGGTAATGATAACAGAAAGACATACAGCAAAACACTGCCTTCTCCAACCTAATATGACTGAACAACTGAAGGATATGCAGCACATTTAAGTTATTAAAGCTATGTCCTGTGCATCAGGCAGGACAACAGGCAAGGCATGCTAGTATTCTGTGTATTAGTACATTAAAAGCATCTCAATGCTTGCAGCCTATGCAAATACACAGTATAAACATTTGAATGAACATATGAAGGAAGGGGAGGAATTCCTGGCTCCACTTATGGAAATATCTAATCACATTTTTGAGCAAGTAGAAGGTCATGAAAGACATGACCATATCTGGAAAATCTTCCTTCAGGAAGCTTTAACTATCCCAAATTAGGGATGTAGACTAAATAAATAATTGCTATGCAAAAGTAAAAACTTACTCTATGCAGATCATTACAAATGGGATAGATTAAGGAAGGTGCTGCACAGGCTTCATAAACTGTTTGGATTCAGTCACAATGACAAGGAAAGCATTCAAAATTTATGAAGGCCCACAGAAGAGAGCACTGCCGAGTTCCACGGATACACCTTCACACAGCTGTTGCAGCTGATCCAGTTAAAAAATAGAGAGTAATTACACCACCCAATGTAAGTCATAATGCAGCTTGAAAAAATAAAGACATCTATTTCTTTGTATTTTAAGGCATATTTATGTAACTGAAATCCAGTGTACTTTGCACAGCAGACTGTAACATGTTCCTAGAGACATTCAAATATTAATGTTTTAAACATCCTCCTCTCCTTCAAGCACTGTCCTGCATTTCAGTCATCAGCTAAATAAGAAAAACAAAGAGGTGACAAGGAACTAAAAACAATTACAATTTCAGAACACTAGCAAAACTGGCTTCCATATGTGTCCAAGGCAATACAAAGTTGATTTTGAACTTAAATAGAAGGCTTAGTGACACAGTTTCAATAACTTCTTGCCTTGTACACCTGCTAATGTAACTACAGCAATAGTATCAACTGAGCCTGCAAAACAAACTGAAACAGATTCATTTAAAAAAGAAAAAGGATAAATTGAAACATATGATATTTAATCCTTATTATTACAGAAACAGTATTAACACAATCTTTGTTCATCTCTAAAGAGAAGACAAAGACTACCTAAAAGGCAGGATGGCTTCATGGACATAAACTACAAGCACTTGAAACAAGAATGTGCCCGAGATCCACATCCATGGGAAGTTGAGAAACTGTTTTTTGTTGTTTTTTAAATCAAGATTTACTGTTATAACTTTTCCACTTGCTGACTCGCAGGTACAAGTCCAAAAGTAGAAAGCAAAGATTCCTATGCAGGACAAGTCTATACAGAGATAGAATTGGTGATATGTAGATACACAGTCAAATGAGCATCTTCTGTGCCACTGTGAACACCATTTAGAGAACACAGAGACCTCAGTGCAACTCCCAGCCTTGCAGCGTGGAACAAAGTGGCAATTTTATGCCTGGTACCAGTTCTTTGCACATTTCTCTTGAGCTTTTTAACAAACGCTGAGATACCCTCCCAAATTTCCCAATTCCCTCATCACCTTTTATCAAGTTGTCAAGAAGAAGCGTATTACAAAATCACCAGGCTTGGAGATCCACAAAACTAACCGTGTTTCGAAAGAAGCAGATTCTCATCTTTAGCTTTTTGTGGATGCTTTTCAAAGTACATCCTAGGGTTATTACTAGCAAGAGCCACTGCATGGCCAGTAACAAGTGTAAGAAGCACACATCTAAGCAGTGTGATCTTATCAGAAGTGGCTTTCATCTACACACACTGCAGTAATAATTCCGTAAAGAAACACACGGTTCAAGACTTTTTGTTTTTTAAAATCTCAGACTGGTACATCTGAGCATCACAGAATCAGCACTGTGACCCCCCAAAAATCCTGCAGGCTACAGCTGATTAGAAGTTCTTCTGGGTTACAGTGCAAATTCATTCAGTGGAATCACTCAAGGTAAGTTTTTTTCAGCGAGAAGAAAAAAACTGCCAGTCACACTTTGAGGTCCTACTGAATTCAAGACGTCTCAAACACCAAGGCTTCACTTTATTGCTTCTAATGACTTTGCCATAGTAACTCTGCAGTATCTATCTCAGTACAACTAGGAAATCAGCAATTATGTTTTGTTATATGAGAACTATTATATTTCCTCCTCCGTAACTGAAATGATTTTGCAAGATCGTTCAAGCTTTCAAGAGGAATAATCCGAGGATGACTTAGAGGCTTTTGCTGAATGTAGTTTTCTTTTTTACCTATTATTGAGGCGAGAGAAAATGTTCTGGCTTCCCCACCAAGTTTAATTAACAGCATACAAAAGGATTTCTCCGCAGACTTATTGTCTGATCTAAGTCTAATGGGACTGAAGCACACAGACTGACACGGCTAATAAAATCTGTGATTCATAAATGCAGATTGAAATCCGTTATCTGACAGCATCCATAAGAACAGATTCACAAAACAGGTGTACCCCAAGACAAAAAAAATCCACATCATTTCACAAATGTCAGAGCCGAGAACAATCAGTAATCCTCTAAAGAAATAAAACTCCCAAAGACACTTCCTCAAAATGTCATGAGCTCTTCAGAAAGGTCGATGTTATCATACATCTGTATACCAGCGTAACCAAACACACACATACAATATGGTCATCTGTATAGTCAAAAGGGACAAGGAATGATTTTAAGAGAAAAATAGCTAACAGTAGACCATAATAACTTCAAAGCAGCCTGTTGTTACTGGGAAGAAAAGAATTAGATGAACTCATCCTGAAGTGCCTACAAATACAGCCTTTTGCCAGCAGAAGACAAGATAAGAAGCTACTTGGTACAGCAGCTCAGACTGTTAATTTAGTGCAGCTTTTAAAATGTCACTTAGGTTGCATATTATTAATTACTTCAGTGAAATTAATTATTGCTACATCAACTAAAACATTGTTAACCATTACGTTCAAACAATACAGATCTGCTTTTGAAAAACAGCTGCACTTCCAATCCTTACGCATAAGCATTAACAAAAGTCTTAAAGAAACTGAAAGATCTCACTCACACCTGTTTAAGTGCAAAAGAGAATCTGAACTCTGTTTTCAGTTTTCATTAGAGACCTGTGAGGAAAACTATAAATTTACAGCAATTCTGTGCATTAAAAGAGAAAACATTTCCACAGTGCATTAACATTAAGCTTGAATTCTAGCACTCATATCAAAAAGTGACATCTATTCTCTTACCACTAACTGCTGCATGTTGCTTCAGATACTCCCTTCTGACATTTATGTTCTTCACAAGGCACTGCCTGGCGTGAGCTCTTCTCTCTTTCACTGGATCTTTTGCACACAGTGCACAAATAGCCATATATTCTAGTGGCAGCCGTAGTCTAGAAAGCCCTTTGTGAAGTTTCTGAGCAAATATTTGTCTCACTTGGTAACATTCATCCTATTAAAAACAAAACAAAAAAGCAAACAGTGAGCCTTTCTAAAATTAATATTGAGTGTGAAATAAAACACAGAAAGCTGAATGAATGTCAAAATCAAGTTCAGATCCTGGCCCCACAGAAATGTAGAAACTGTACAAATACTTGGGTGGGTTTTTTTTTTAATACCAATTCAAAACAATTAAATTGAATTAATCAGTTGCAGTTTCCCTGAAGGCAAGGAAGAAAGTTATGTCTCAGACTGTGGAGAAAGATGCCACACTCAGGATCCAAGGCCTGACTTGGCACAGAACAGAGGCACAGAAATTGCTTATAATGGGACCACTCAGTTTGTGTGGCCAAAGGTAAAGGCCTGTACTGAAACAATGTTTAATCATAAGTAACCACTATTGATTTTATTATTGCAATTTCACAAATCTTGATCAAGTCATTAGCATTGGAAGTAGAGTAATACTTAAAAGAACTAAAGGTCACTTGCTTAAGAAACTACCAAACATTTCCATCATAATTTAGAAACCTATGAACCATGACTGACCACAGAAGAGTATAATTTGTGACCAACAGTTGTCAATGAACACAAAGTAAAAAAATAAGGGGAGCAAGTGTACTCTTATGATTTATTAACCAATGGATTCTCAGAAGAAATATTAACTTCAAAATTCTCTTTATGAAAACAACCTACAAACATCAGGACCATTCAAGGCCAAAAACTTAAAAGATGCTGTGTGGAAAATGCACAGGAAAATGTATTATAAACTTATTTATCCCAGCAAAAATGATCAAGAGGAAAAAGATTTGTTATCTCTAAATATGAAGAAAAAAACATTAACAGAAATAAATACCTATTAGTTTAAATGACAGCTTTGAAATTTAGAGAGTTTCCAGATATCAGCCAACAGGAAGAGCAGAGACAAAGATGTAGTCACTGGTAACACCCAACCTGCTGAATTTGCAAATGAGGTAAATATATGTATACATGAAGATTTTTAAAAGGCCTCCAAATGCCAGAGTTGATTGATGAAGCAGCCGCAACCCAAACTGGAAACTCCACCTGTAAGACATACTCAAAGTCTATTGCATCTGTGTATGGCCTGCCTCCATAGTAAATCCACCCCTTAGCAGAAGGCCAAGGAGGTGGAGCCCTCTTCTCCCATTCGTTAATATTACTTATGTCTATAGTCCTTAGAAATCTTAGAACAGACTTCTGCCCAGTTGCTATGACAAAGAAGTAAATCCTTCTTATATTAGACTTAATGTAAGGTATGGTTCTTTGTTACTGATGCCACTGTGAGATAAAATTTGAAATATTTTTATTCCTTTATATCCCAATATCAAGAATAACTTACAAGTTATTCTGATAAGTTCAGCTCAGTACACAAGTTCACTGAGAGGAAGAGGGACCAAACTCAGCCAAGCTCTACCATTATTTCCCCAGTATTCCACTAAAAAAAGAAGTATTTGCAAAGCTGCTTATATCTCTCCCTAAGAAATAACACTGATTCATGAAAACTGACAGACTTGCTTAACTAATTAAAACTCCCTCAAACTGAGATTATGAAAGAATCTCTGCAAGTTTGTTTGCTGTTTTGTTTTTTCCTTTTTTTTTTTTTTTGTTGCTAATGGTTCTTTTTGCTTTTGACATTTTTAACGTACCTTAAATAACAAAAAATATTCTCAAAACCACTAAAATTGTATTTTCAACAGCTTATCTTAAAATCTTAAAACTGATCCGAAAAACTTTAGAATACTGAAGTAGTCAACGCCATTTTTCTACTCTCTTTCAACATGAAGCTTTGCCGACGCGTCAGTTTGTTCTGTACAACAAAGATCTTGGCTGCTGGGGAGATTACAGGCTCGGGAAATACATACATCACTTATTCTAAAAGGACTAAAACTATGTGCACTTAATCATCATGAAGTCACTGCAACATTAAAGCAACGGGCAACGGCATTTAATTATGCATTCTATACTCAAGTAATTCCACATTAGAGAATGTGGTATTCTCTCTCTCTCTCAAAAAAAAAAAATTCATTAAATATCAAGCACAGAAATACAGTAGAACAAATGCAACCACAGCAAACCTTAAAAATTAAGCTTTTCCTTTTGTTTTATCTGCTTCTTGATCTGTCCACTTAAAGAAAATTTGCAATATATTAAGTTACAAAATACCAGTTGGCCTCAAAGTCACCTGAGTGCCCTAATCTGTGGTCAGACTTGCTAGTGACAAAAAGGATTACACACTAAATGAATTTTAGTACTTTGCATAATCTTATATCTGCAAATATTTGAAAAACACATATACAGATTGTATTATTTCCCACATAGATAATCTTGAAGTGTAGATCCTCTGCACCTGAGGATCTGAACTCAACAGCCTAAAAGGAGGACGAAAATGGCAGAAAAACTCAAGAATATCTAGAAAAGTTATCTATAATTATTCATAATCCATTAGGTGCCTCATGGATCAGTAAACATAGAATTTCTGTCTTGAAAGAGCTTAAAATCTAAACTTTGGTAAACAAATACGAAGGTCAATCAATTACTGTAAAATTTACAAAACTTTAAAAACAGGAACGGAGAGAAATTCTAAGTCTTCACTTCTAATTTGAAAGATATTTCCCTTCTGCTACTTCAGTCTCAAAGGCGAAATTGCTCCTAATTCTTCTGCAATTTAAAACACACACCAATGACCTTCACAGATCTCCATGTTCCAAATGCATTCTACCCATCTATCAAGAAACAATGATCTGTGTTGTCACTGCAGTCCAACATATCTAATTCTCACTCAAAAATCAATTTTCAGGATTACGAACTGGAAAAAAAAAATTAATGTCAAACCCAATGATTTTTCATAAATACAGATTAGCAGAAGTATATGCAACAAGCATCACATGCATACAGATATTTGCCAATATCCCACACATCACACCCAACTTCCTTACATTTATGGCTAGTGCACACAGCTGGTACTGTTCCAAGGTGATGATTTCATGGTAACAGGGTTCTTGTGCCAGCTTCACAATAGCACTACCTGCAGCCAACCTCAATCGAGACATATCAGGTTTACTGAAAAACAAGCACATAGGTTATGAGTTAATAAAAGAATGTAGAATTATTTGACTTAATTAAATTTTGGTGAATTAGCATTGCTGAAAGACAGGTATTTTAAAAAGAAGAAAAAATCTCCAGAGCTGGCCTCCACCCAGCCTCAGTTCCCAGACAACAGCACAAGTAACTGCTCATATCACAAGTTGTTTCTGCTTTATCAGATGTTGAAGTCTATTACCACATACCTATTCCCTTGACCCAGCTTTGCAATGAAAATATTTCTTGGAACTTCCTTGAAGTACAACACGGATGTAAAACTGCTTTAACTGTGCGCTGGATCAGCACACATCAGTACAGGCTGCCTTTCAGAGACCTCAATGACCTCCCATGCTTCTGTTCAGCATGCTCGCTTTCCTTCAGCAGGGGGCTCCTGCCAAGGAAACAGCCCATTTCCAGTCCCCAAAGTTGCCAAACTTTCTTCTAAGGAGTAGATAGCTCAAAACCCTCACTGCACCTCAACACAAATTTATTTTAATTAGAAACGTTTAGAGGTGGCCAAATGAATTGTACTTTCAAGACAAAAAGGATGTAACAACCAAAAATATTTTTAACACGTTGGAAGCAGTATTACTTGACTTGTACATGCAAACTGTATTCCTACATAGCAAAACACTCCAGGCATTTGCTATTTTTCATATTGAAAGCAATTTTTTCTACAGACTGTAACCACATTTACAGAGGTCCTCAGAATATCAAAAGTATCTTCACATCAGCTTTACAAATTGATATCCACATAACAAGTCCATTAATAAACTTAGTTTGGCTTTCACTCTTAGAAATTTTATCTCAGTAAAAAAAACATTACTACTGCCTTTCTTCAGATCAAGCAGTAAAATAAAGTAAAAAGTTGTGTGCCTCACTTAAAATTCTCACTAATGAACTATACCCAGTAGTAATAAGTGCAGCCTATTCCTTTGATATAATCAAATTGCATTCCAAATTAAAAATAATCACTCATTCAAGCAGGACTAATATAATTTAATTTCTTAACCATTTGCCCTTTATTCTTAGGGACAGCAAGCACTGTACTCCTAAGCATTATTATTACCATGAAAACTGTACAAGGCTTTTAAAGATTAAAAGCCACTGTTAAACAGAATAAAAATACCTGAAGAGCTTAAACTTTCATGTTATCTAATCAGATCTTATAAATGCCTCAGTATTTTATGGAAAAATCAAGTAGATGATGAGCAGAGGGCAATACTACACTACATTTCAAATAGAACAGGAAGATTAACATTTAGTCCTCAAATACTAAGTTTCATTTTAAGTTGCATCTACTGTGATAAGTGAACCCAAAAAAATTTAATTTTTGCACACCAGTGACTACTGAACAACAACTTAATGGTACAGAATGAAAGAGCCAAAGAAATGAAATTTACAACTTTCAGTCTTCCTTAGCTTTGGCAGAGACAGCATTTAATTCTGGAAACTGAATCAAAAGATATTTCTTTACAAGTACAAGTTGGCTCAAACTTTGGGGAGTATATCCAACATATTCTTGTATCCCAGAAATACTTGTAAGCACGTGAGCATGCTGCAGGAAGGAGGAAGAGGACAGTGACAGCTACGTATTTTTATGATAAAAGATGAAGATCAAATCTATCCTATTACCCAGGAGGATTATACTAAAATAAAACACTAAATAAAGGATTTATCTTTCATCAAATTGTCTTAACCAAATATTTTCCAACCTGTACTGTCCCAACATACACAATTTAAAGCAGAAATTAAAACTTCAGTCTGATATACCTATTGTTTTCAATTATTTCTTGGCATTTTGAAAATTAACACTACATGCCCTTGTCGTATCAGAAACTCCCTAAAGGCTAAAAGGGGGACCTGGACATTTATTTTCTGGAGTGCTATTACTGTTGCTGAAGACCAGATATTTGAAATCAGAACAGAAATGCAACCACATGGAAAGACCTTATCAAGTGCAAAATACTGTGCTGGGATGCACAAAGCTAACCCAAATAAATGTGCCTTCAAAATACATCTAGTGTATAATCACCTCTCACTTCACAAACTGATAGCTAAGATTTTCCTCTTCCTCCACAGGGCATAAATGCCAGTGTCTGATTTTGTAAGCATCTTCCATTTTCCACAGAATAAAAATGTTTCTCCTAAAAAGACTCTCTGACAATGTTGTGTGTCAGATGGCAGAGCTGGTTACTATTATATACCATGAAATTCTAAAAGCTTAATTCTAGAAGATTAACGTATTTTTTCCCCTGGTAAGCTTCAGTAAGGAAAAATACAGACTGCCTTCCCAAAAGTCTCAATGCAGTTTCATATTTGGTATCAATACTTTGGGCAACTGCTAGCATCCTCCAATGTTCTTACTTTATGCTCATTATGGATTAAAATTCTTCTACAAATAAGGCATGTAATACCCAGCATGGCTGTTTTTACTGATCAGAAATAGAAGAATTGGTACCGTATTGAATTTTGAACTTGTAGAAGTGTTTGTAATTAATAAATAAATCAAAAATAAATACCTGGAAACCACCACTGAGACAGTGTTTATTGACAAAATTCAATATTAAACTATTCCTGACACCAGTGAATTTAATTTACCTGTGTTAACATTTCAAAGTAATTAAAAGCAATTCAACAAAGTCAACAATCTCCCTATGCCAAAATGAGAAAGATGAAGAGACAGGATTTATTTGTTTCTTTTCCAAGCGAGTCCTTGTCTTCACACCATACTCTAGGCTGAATCATGCTTTGAAATTTAATAAATCCCATACCTTCACATGGTCACTGAAAAAGTATATCTGTGTAGATTTAAAGAGTTGAGATCTGAGTCATTTTTATGGTTGATTAAGAAATACTTGTTCCAGAATCTTTAGTTCAACCTTCTAATGATGTGGAACAATAAGATTAGAACATTTTATAACACCAAAGTGAATGGCAGTAAAAGTGATTACAACATGACTTTCAGCCTACAAGAGGTCAAATGTGTCCCAAACCCAGCCACTTTCATGTAATTCAATTATCTTTAGCAAATTACACATAATTATTTAAAAGACAAATGCAAGCCACAAACACAAATACTGACACTACGCAGAACAGCAGCAGATTTAGTAGTTTAGAAGGCAAGATTCTGCACTGCATGGAGTTTTTCTCTTTTCAAAGCCTACATTAATCCAAAAGAAGCATCAAATTTCCACACCAGAGATCCAACACATGCTGCCATTGCATTTTCAAAGGATAAGGCATAAAGGTCCGGAAGGGTCAGCCAAATCAGGATGATCTGTGTAAAACTAACATGCCTGAAGCATCATTTTCCCTGCTTCAGTTTATGAAGTTACTTTTCAGCACAGGTGCTATAGCTCACAAAAGTAGACACAATGCAAAACTGTGCTCCTTGGATGTTAGAACTTTTGAAAGTGCAATACCAGGCATCACAGAATAGCTGTGGTCAGTTGGAACTGCTACAGGTCAGACAGCCACACATGGCTGCTAAAGCAGGGACAACCACTAGGTTGCCCAGAGCATATCTAGACAGCTTTTGAGTATCTCTAATGAGGGATACTCCACCACCTCTTTGAGCAACGTGTGCCAGTAGTCAGACACCTACACAAGTGGAAAAAATGTTCTTATGCTCAAACAGAACCTCCTGTGTTTCAGTTCATGCTCATTATCTCTAGTCCTGGCACTGTGTACCACTGAACACAGAACTCCAGGTGGGGCTCAGTGGTGACAGTGTAGAGAAAAATGATCTCCCCCAGCTTTCTGGCAATACTCCACCGACTGAAGCCCAGTATGCTGACTGCCTTTCTTGCCACCAAGGCACACAGCTGGCTCATGTTCAACTGGACATGACTGTCAGGCCCCTTTCTGTTTTCCGGCTAGGCAGCTCCCAGCATGTACTGATGCATGGAATTATTCCTTCCCAAGTGCAGGACTTTGCAATTCCCACTGTTGAACTTTGTGAGGTACCTGTCAGCACATCTATCCAGCCCTGTTTCCATCTTTCTGGGCGGCATCACGTCTCTCTGGCATATCAGCCACTTCTCTCAGTTTAGTGCCTCCAGCAAACTTGCTAAATGTACACTGTCACATAACCCAGACCATTAAGGAAGGTGTTAAAGAGACTGACCTCTTGGGTACACCACTGGTTACTGGCCTTCAGCTAAGACTTTGTGCCACTTTGTGCCACTAAGACTTTGTGTGATTACCATATTTTGGACTTAACCATTCAGATAGTTTTAAGTTCATCTCATTATCTACTCCAGCCTATGCTTCATCAGCCTCTTTAAGAAGATCTTAAAGGAGACAAGTGTTGAAAAGCCTTCTGAAGTTAAGGCAGATCATATTCACTGCTCTCCTCTTGTTTACTAAAATTGTTATTTTATCAAAGAAGATTATCAAGTCAGCCAAGCATGACTTCCTATTGTTAAATTTGAGCTAAGTACTTTTGATGACTTCCATGTACCTGGAAATGGTTTCTAGAATTAGCTGCTCCACTTTCTAAGGATGAAGGCAAGTCTGACTGGCCTATAGTCAAGTTTTTAGGATCCTCTGATAAAAGGACATGGACTTATGCTCGTCTAGGTGTCTTCCTGACAGGCTCTTTTCCACCAAGAGTTGGCTTTAGTTTTCTCCAGATGTTCCCCTGTTCTCCAGAGCCTGAGACTGGCATAGGCTGCCCAGGGAGGTGGTTGAGTCACCATCCCTGGATGTGTTTAAAAACCATTCGGATGCAGTGCTCAGGGACATGATTTAGCAGTGGGTTGTTAGAGTTCAGGTAGTACATTTACATTCAGGCTGCAGTTGGACCTGATGATCTTTAAGGTCTTTTCCAATCTGAGCAATCCTATGATTCTATGATTCCTGAGTCTGGTCTTGCTAGTAAAGACTGAGACAAAGAGAACATTCAATACCCCTGCCTTCCCACATCCTGCATCACCAAGGCTTCTGCCCCATTCAGCAGTGGGTGCATACCTTCCCTAGTCTTCCTTTTGTCACCTATTTACAAGCCCTCCTTGTTGTCTTTGACATCCCTCAGCAGATTTAATTCCAGATGGGCTTTGACTATCCTAATGTTGTCCCCACATGCTCAGACAGCACCTCTGTATTCCTCCTAGGTTACCTGTCCCTTCTTCCACCTTCTGCACACCTCCGTTATGTCTGACTTTTGTCAGGAGCTCTTTGTTCATTCATGCTGGTCTCCTGCCATTTTTGCATGATCTCATGTTTGTCAGAATGAATACTCTGTAATGATCAGTTATCTTGGACCCTTTTCCACAAAGCTACTGGACTGTAGCTCCAAGCAGTTATGCTGAAAAACTAATGGTGTTACTTAGTCCTCTGGTAACTGCCACAAATGGTCATATTACAGAATGTAACATGATAAATGTAAAATATGATGTAATATGATATATGTAAAAACAGTAAAACAGCTATTTATGAGAAATTTTAAGAAAGCCCACACATTACTACAAAGATGATATAGCAGTAAATTCTCAGGTTTCAGCTTTACACACACAACATAGGCCTACATTTGCAGATGGCTGTACAACATTTAACTCTGCCCCAAAATTAAAATCTTTTTACTCTTACTGGCACAATCCACATATGCATTTAACAGCTTCCGCAGACACAAGTTTTCAATATTTGGAAAACAATAATGCCTGAAAGCTTGTCTCTTCTACAGCACAGGATCAAGAAAATAAGCATTGAAACAAAGAAGTTGTCTAACAGCCATCTAAAAGAGAAATTATTTATTAATTGAGAATTATTTATTAAATGAGAATTAATCTTCTTTACACATTTCCAATTTCATTCCACTTTCAGAGACCTCCAGGGAATAAAGTCTGCCTTCAGACAGAAGTGCCTCATGTACTAGCTATTCCCACCTGGTTTCTGGCAACATGCTGAAAACAATACATTGGCAATATGCTGGCAAATGTGTTTTATGAGAAAAGCTGTTTATGGATTTTGAGCATACACAACAACTGGTACATGGGCAATAAGTGACACAAAAAAATTTAAAACCCATTTTCAGTGGTACAGAGGAAGTTACTCAGTTTATTCTTGTAGTCTGAGTAATGGCCCTTTAAAGAAGATAAAACAGAAAAAGACATTAAAATACAGCGTATCTAAGGTGTTAAAATAAACCAAGACTCAGCAAACTTCTGTAGGAATTCAGCCAAGCTTATCTTTGAGTTCTTAAAAAACAAATCATATCAAGATTCTCGTACAGTAACAGAACAGTCAAGTATTACTTTGACTAAAATTCACGTACTCTACCTATTGCATCACCAAGGACATCAAAATGTTACCATTTGTTACGTACCTAATTTTCCCCTGCTCTGTCAAATCTCCATCACTGTGTAATATTGTTGTTAGCAATCTTAGAGTAGAAGTTCCTGATTTACTGTGATTGTTCTTCATTCCTAGCAACCATCGAACCATCATCTTGATGGCCTGAATCTGAAAGATTTTGATATGCAAATGTCAAGTCACTTCAAATGTCTCATTTGAAAAGTAAATACTTTGTTTGTAGGACATTCATAAACATCATGTGCCCACTACTATATTATAGACATACTATAACATCATAACGATTTAAAATAATCTAACAGGTTAACTACTGTTTTCTCAAGTGCTTTTTACTAAGAACGAATGTTTGATCATTTAAAATATTGTGCCCACTACTGAAAGACAACCAGACAGATAAAAATGAAAATTAAAGAACACTAGAAACTGACAATCTTTGACATTAATTACAGCAAATTGAAGTAATATGACATTTAGTTAAAGTTCTGGCAGTTTCTTCCACTACACAATCACGTTCTGTCCTGTGAAAACATTGTCTTAATTGACCTTACATCCACCAAACACTGTGTGATCAGCAAACTATGTATACTTAAGAAAATATTACTGGATCTAAATGAAACATTTCTATGCTCACAGAATTCGTATGCTTTAATCCCTACGAAGTCCTTACATATATTGAATTTGAATATAAAATTATTTTAGAAATGTAAATTTAAAACCACTTTGTAGACATTTCAATCAGTACAGTATTAACCTGCATTAAGATAACTGGCTTCAGAAAAGAATATTTCTTTCTTAGCTATTTAAAGAAAAGCCTCAAAGCCTGTTATTTAAGATAACTTGTCCTTTGCCAATGGAAACGCTGAGTCTTTTGAGGCAAGCTTCTAAAAGTACGCAGAATCTAGCAGCTATCATGAAACTCTGAATAATTTTTAATTTCTTTAGTGAAAATAAAGCATGAGTTTGGAGAATAAATTTGTTTTATTATCTGAATCTCTCCGTCTTTAGTTTTCCTTCTGTATGAGAGCACAGACAGTAATGAAAACAGAAAGAGGAATATTTTCTTAAAGCAAAATGAAAGTGTTCGTCTAAAACAAGTAGACATTCTTGGGGGGTGGGGAGAAATCCAGAACATAGAATTCAAGAGTTCTACAAAATCTAAACATAAATATTAAAAAAACTAAATACAAAGCTAGCACTGGAAGGAACCTACTACATTCTAAATCTCTTTTAATACGTGATTGTACACAGTAACTTAGAATTCCTTTTTCCCTGAAAGACGAAGTTCTATTATTCTAATATTGTAATATAATGTAATTCTATTATTCCAACTTAATAGTCAAAATATTACTGAATGAAGTTCATGATATGACCTCCTTCATGTAAAACTGTACACAGTGATCCCTTCAGATCTCTAAATTTTGTCACTATTATTCTTACACGTTTATTTTTAGCTCCACAGGCCATTTATTCCACCAACAGAATTAAGTATACTGGGAACACCAGCAGGAGGCAGGCTATCAAGAAGTAAAATCACAAATCAAATTTGTGGAACAGAAATGAAATTCAGTTTTGCCCCCTCCCTCAGTTGGTATGCAGGTATCCTGAAGCAGTTTGTAGCTATCCACTAGAAGATGATGACAATGCCAATAATAATATCAGCAGCAGCAGTTTTGGCAGTCTATCTATTTAATTATTTAATGTCACAACCAGTACCTGTATCATTACTGTCTCCCATTTGTTATGAAGACAGAAACATTATAGTTCTATGTGGTCTTCAAGTAAGAAAGTATATGAATCTTCACTCCTAGAATTGCATAACTTCATCAACACCAGACTACTGTGCATGCCAACTTAGTCAGGGAACAGCCACATGCTGTCTTGTGCTCCTGCATCTCTGGTCAGCTCCTGGTCAACTTTTATTTTAACCTTTGCTTTTCTCCCTTCCTCTCCACAGCTCCTTCCCCCTAGTTTTTAAGAAGCCTACTACTCTAGTCATGCAATCACACAGCAAGTCCTAAATCCACGTCCTTCAGAATTTTCCTATTTGTCCTCTCTGTTCCTTATTTCTCTGCTGCTGTTAATGATGTTTTGACAACGCTAAAACAATGCTTCAGAATCGAATATTCCAATAAAATTAATTAGGGGGCATGAAAATCCTTACCCACTGCATCAAGCTACCTGAACATGAGTTTGCACCACCTCTATGTTTTAAATGTCATTTTTGCAGCCAAATAGGGTAACTATCAAAAATAATTCAGGTTGGAAGGAATTTCAGATTATCCCCAGTCCAATCTGAAAGGAAGATCAACTATGAAGTTAGTTTTACTCAGTTTGGTGTTGAAATCCTCCAAGAATAGAGACTGCACAGCCTGCTGGCAACCTGCCTAACTCTGAACAGTTCTTTCCTTATATCTACTCTGAATCTCTTGTTTCACTTTATGTTCTATGAGACCACAATTCTCTGATATCAGAAGTTAAGGTCACAAATTACTCCCTACCACCAAATAAGACAGCATAATGAATTAGGTGCATTTTAAGTGCAATCAAAAACAATAGTACATGATCACTTTTTTTCCTCCACAGATGATGTATCACTGGCTGTCATATAAGGGAACTGAAATTAATAACTAGCTTTACATAAACAATCAGCAGCAAATAAGCATTAACCTTTTAAAATGAAAATTAACAACAACAAAAAAAATCAACAGTAAATTATAGCTTTTTTCTCTCATCTAGGTTACCATCATACCTCTACTATAAAAGCATACTGCGCTCCCATCCCTTCAAGTAATCCTAGAAAACAATCCTGGAAACACTGTCTCCTTACTGCATTCATGTATGTCTACAACAGGTTGCTCAAATTTCTTCTACTCAAGTTTTGGGAGCTACAAATACCACACAAGTATCACAGAACTTCAAGGTTAGCACAGTAACAAAAAATGAACACTGCCTACATAAAACACAGCTAGAGAAATAGAAACCTAATACTGTAGGATATATAGAAACAAGCAAGAAATATTAGTGCTACTGTGTAGGACTCAATCTAGCTGCATGGCACGCTGAAATATTCATAATTAATCTTACTAGCTTTAAGAAAGTCATTAGATGTATTATACAATTACATTACAGAAAGGGAGAAAGGCTTTTAAAACCAGTGTAAAATACAGTCACAAATCCGTTTCTAAACTAATGGTGTGGCCTGCACTCTTCATTAAATATAGGTTTTGCAGTGGTAATAAATGTTAATTAAATTTGCAGATCAATGTTCACAATAACCTGTTTTCACTTGCCAACAAATGCTTCTCACAGTGTTTGAGCTTGGCTTCAACTCCAAGTTGCCCTAGGATTTTCTATAAGCCAATTTCACTTCCAAATAGCCAAGCTGTAGAAGAGTTTTATCAACAAAAAGCACATTTTAAAGCTGCACAAATCTCTTCAAAAATGTATATATCAAGCAACACTGACTACGCCAAGTGACATGCATAATCACTGAAGTGAAACCATGTCTATTTTAAACCAGCAGGTTTTGAAGCATACTATGTAACTGCAGCATTGCATGCATAGGAAAAACACCTTTGCTGCAGCTGAATGAGTAAAAAGCTAACAAAGCAGCTCCAAACAGAACTGGTTTCCACTAATTACTTTTGTACCAAGTTGGAAACCAAGGAACTTACTAAACTAGCAGACCAGGAAGCATTAAGGTGCAAAGAGTTTAAAAACTTCAATAGAGAAAGCAGAGTCTCTTAACATCATCTGAGCAACTTTATTCAAAAGGAATTGGAAATTAAATAACTGCTCTAATTAACTTGAAAACAGCATGATACGAAGTATATCTTCTGTAGCTAGAAAGATGCATGATCATCTTTGCATGATCATCTGAAGGAAGGACATTTAAAAACAAGACATATGCTGTAGAGACTAAGTCTATTTAAGTGAAAAAAGAACTCATAGCAAGAACAGAAATGGCAATAATACATTTATATCAGAGAAAGAACGAGCTTCAGATCACATTTTTAAGCACAGGTTAAAAAAAAAAGAACATTCTCTTTAATACACATTACTCTTCTACATACAATGTAACACATGCACTCATTTGAGAAGAATGCCAAATTCAAAAACAACTTTTCCCATATTCCAAAACACCACTAAGAGTCTACTGAAATGTCCTAAAAATTCAAAAGAAAGCAAAAAGGGGAAAATGTCTTTATGATGTTTAATTCCTGCTAAACAGAAAAATAAAACAAACTAACTTCATTTGTGTTAACATCTGGAAATGATTTCATGTGCAATGCTTACATAAGGATATAATAAATGACAGTAAAACTTCAATGATGTGCATATTTACTGCATTCATTTTATAAAAGAAGATGCTCCCAAAATCAAAATATTTTCTTCTATCAATCCTAAGATGTCTTTTATCTTATAAAGCCATTAATTTAGAAATAGCTTCTCCTTTTTACTTTAATAAAGGTGACAAGGAAACAGAGTTGACAGCTGTAGGAACACAGACATTTAATTTTATTATCTGTAACACAATTACAGAAAATGCTACTTACTTTGACTAGTGTTTCAGGAGACACTTCTTCATCTGGGACCCAAAGTTTTGTTGTCTTTTTTCCTGGAAGCTAAAACAAATATTACATTTTGTTACACTACTGTTAGTCCTCAGTGAAACCTGCTGTAATCTCCTCTTTCTGTTTTCTTCTGAAAGCAATACAGCAGCACTAACTGGTTAGCTCTATGTCTTATGTATTTTATAGAAGAACTACTAGAGAAGTGGGATACGGTTCTTGTCTTGCTATTCAAATACTGACAAATGTATCACTTGTAAAATGATTTTTGTTGTCTTGCTATTACCTGAATGTTCTTACTTCAGAATGTAATAGGCACTGCTTTGAAAATAATTTTTATTTTTCATATCCAGTGGACTGGAATCTCACATGCATAATTTTAGACAGTAAATTTTAACCTAAACATAGCCGACAACACACAAGTTATTTTTTCCCTTTGCGATCACCGTCAGTACAGAAGTCTCGTGCAGATTAACACTAAGAGTCTCAGCTCATTTCAATTTCAAATGCACCATACTGTAGTGGTTTAACCTTGGCTGGCTGCCAGGTGCCTACCCAGCCACTCTCCTGGTTTCTCCTCCTCAGCAGGATGGGGAAGAAAATCTGACAGAACAGTTTGTGCATTGAGACAGGATAAGGAGATCACTCATCAATTACCATCACCGACAAAACAGACTTGGCTTTGGGAAGATGAATTTAATTTACTGCCAACTAAAAATCAGAGACGGGCACTGAGAAACAAAAGCAAATCAAAACCACCTCCTTCCTACAGTCCTGCTTCTTCGAAGTTCAACTTCAATCTTAAATATTCTATTCCTCTTGCATCCACCCCAACTGAACAGCGCAGGGAGACAGAGCTGAGTACATCACACTTCATCTCTGCAGCTCCTTCAAGAAAGCTTATTACCTAAAGCCAACACTCATACTTCCTTAAAAGTAAGAAATGCAACTTGCTCGCTTAAGACAGGAGTGACTGAACTCAATATCAATATTCCTACTTTTAAAAAGAGGCCAGACATGAGTAATCTCAATTGCTGTGTAAACACCCTTGTTTTCTTTTTTTCCTTTTAAGGACTATCAAATCAGCACTAAATTAGTACTCCATCCTTTCCTGTACTGTGAGTACTCAGTTGGGTCACCGCACATGTGGAAATCCAAGCATAACCATCTACAAAGAGTAGGAGCAAAAGGTCACATCTATGTGATGAGTATCCTACAACAGGAGGAGGAGAATCTTAGAACAAAGTTTTAAAAGTACTTACCCTGTCATTCATTAGCAAATCTTTAACAATAAAAGTGGCAACCAAAGATTTCAAAGGGGCAGCAAACTGATCAGGTGCTAGCATGGCTATATGGCCAATAGTAACCAGTGGTGTAATGAGATGCTCAAAATTGCTTGGATCCAGACTTTTATGCAGTGGCTAAAAGAAAGGCAACAAATTAAAGTATTAATTATATAATCTATGTCTTATTCAGATAAGGGGTGGGGGAAGAGACATTCCTATTTCAGAAATACGATTTTTTTAAAGTAAATACTTGTTATTTAGGTTTCAAGTCATGTTCACCAACAGATCTCCTAGAAATTGAAAGAACACAAGTCAAGAAGAAAAAGACAAAATGGATGGTGTAAGAAATGGTAGCCCAACCTGAACTGACTGAATACCAACAAATTAAAAAAAGTAATTTCCTATTGAAGAGGTGAGCATAATACATTTGAAGATGGTAATTTCAGTAGTGGATTGATTCGTCTCCCAAGGTGATCATTACTAATCAGAAAGAACATCTGCAGTTTTACCTATGACATCTATATAAGTAATCTCTACCATAATTCAGTATTTCATAGATTCTGTAACTATTTGACTACCCCAGGTCAATCCCAAAAGTACTGAGGGGTGGTGTATAACTCCTCTATAGCCTATTAAAAAAAAAACAAAAAAAAACCCCAAAAATACAACCCTAAACATGATCATAAAAGGACCTCTCTAAAGACTGAATGAAGATCAACTAGTTCCAGCCTCCCTGTCATGGGCAGGGACACCACCCACTACCATCAGGCTGCTCAAGGCCCCATTCAACCTGGCCTTCAACAACTCTAGGGAGGAGGGCATCCATAACTTCTCTAGGCAACCTGTTCCAGTATCATGATGGATCATCAGATTCTAAAAATAAAAAATTAAAAAAAAAAAAAATCATCTTCTACTACCATTTTTACATCAAACTTCTTAGATCAAAGGGAGCGAGAGAAGGGGAAAATACCTTCTGTAGGTTTGGTGTAACTAATTTGCCATATGAATTGCCACTGTCTCTCTTAATTTTACATACGTGCACTATAAAAGGTAAATCAAAAGAAACAAGTATTTTCATTTTTACCTCAAATATCTGTGCAAACTGTGTCTCTTTGCTAGAAAATATTGCATTGATGCAGTGAATAGCATACTTGGCTTGACGAGGAGGTCCTTTTTTGGCTTTATGATGCAACACTGGAAGCAAAGCACTTAAAAAAAAAGAAAAAAAACACATACCTCCTCAAAAATGGGTATCTTCAAAACTAACAAAAACCACATACATACATATATAGAACATAACACCTCAGTAAAAACTCTATTTCTCCTGGTTTTGGCAATTTTCTCAAAGAAAGGGACCACCACAGTGGCTTCTATTGATAAAACCTCACGTGGCAAAATAAACATTTTACCTCCACATACAAGGTAATACAAGTATTCATTTGAGAAAACTGACAAATATTTTTATTATAGAAGCACACACTACTAAATGCTTTAGTCCGCACATCCTCACCACTCTGTAGATATTAAATTGTAGATATTAAATAGCAAAGAGCATTTTTATATTGCTATATACTTAATATAGAAAAACGTGTAAGTAATTCTGAAGGGCAGTTATACAAATTATACTATTACCTAGCACTTCTTTGCATATATTTCACTTCTACACTTCTACACAAAAAGTTACCTTAAAGTCATTTACATATTTCCTGTTTTATCTGAAGTAATACCGTCTTGCAAAAGAATGCAGTATAAACCACACCATACGAAGTTAAAATGAGAAAGTCTATAATCCCACGTGATTAAAAACACTACTCATAATAACATATACAACTTACGATCTTATATGAGGAAAGTCTTCTTCAATTTTACTTCCTGTATTTTTGAAAATTTGTAATGCAGCTTCTGCCACTTTTTCATCATCCATTTTCAAGCAAGCCAGAAGAGATTCAAAAGTTTCAGCTGAATGGAACGAGATAGGATGTGTAAATGAAAGTACCTGTAAACAAACAAACAAACAAAAGAACAACAAGTTATTATTTTTCTTAAAGGTCCGCTCAGCCAAAACGCTTCAGTAAGAGTCACTTTTTGGCCACTATTTTGGAATATTTTTACTATGCTGCCTGTTTCTGACATATGACTTTTTTTTTTTTTTTTTTTCCATCTCTTAGATGTCTTTATATCTTATCAGTTTTAATGCATTTCACAGTCTGTTATTTCCTCTCCTGCTGCCGTAAGCATATACATTTCAGAGGCTACACCTATATTACCAAGTACTGGGTCAGAGCAGAAGCTGGTCTTCAGACAAACAATTTCTAGATGAGGGAATTTAGAGTACGCTCGCAAAGTTTGCAGGTGATACCAAGCTGGCAAGAAGTGCCATTTGCCTGAGGGTAGGAAGGCACTACAGAGTGATCTGAACAGACTGGATTTCTGCACTGAGGACAAAGGGATGAAGTTCAGCAAGTCCAAGTGCTGGATCTTGCACTTTGGCCACAACAACACCAAGCAATGCTACAGGCTTGGGACAGAGTGGATGGTAGACTGTGTGGAGGAAATGGACCTGAGGGTGCTGGTCAATGCTTGGTTAAAAATGAGCCAGCAGTGTGCCCAGGTGGCCAAGAAGGCCAGTGGTATCCTGGCTTGTATCAGAAACAGTGCAGCCAGCAGGAGCAGGGAGGTCATCATCCTCCTGCACTCAGCTCTGATGAGGCTGCACTTCAAGTACTGCGTTCAGTTTTCAGCCCTTCACTACAAGAAAGACATCGAGGCCCTGAACCATGTCCAGAGAAGGGCAACAAAGCTGTGAGGGGTCTGGAGCACAGGCCTTATGAGGAGCAGCTGAAGGAGCTGGGATTGTTCAGTTTGGAGAAGAGGAGGCTCAGGGGAGACCTTATCTCTCTCTACAGCTGTCTGAAAGGAGGTCATGGTGAAGTGGGGGTCAGCCCCTTCTCCTGCATAATTAGCGATAAGACTAAAGGGAATGGCCTCCAGTTGCAAGAGGGAGGTTCAAGTTGGGTAGGGTTTGCTATATTAACTGAGCCTCAAGAAAGATTAGATATAGCAAAAATAGGTAGACCATCACCAGTGTATGTTGAATTCAGAGGAATGACAGTGTTATACTCATACACAAGTACAGTTCTAGAAGTACTACAAATGATATTCACAAACCACTGAATTCACACACTAGTAATAAAAAAAAAAATCAGCAGTTGATATCATAAATATAACTACTTTTGAATTCTAGAAAAGCTTCTAAATCATTTCTAAAATAACCTTATATTTTGAGGTTATAAATTCATATATCAGAACAAACAGAATCAAAACCAAACCAGTACTCTTCCAAACAACCACCACAATTCTTATGACTAAATTACTAATTGCTAATTACAAAGTTATCTTAATAAAATCATTATAGAAAGTTTTCACACGCTTATGGACAACCAAGAATACACTTGCCTTAAGCAACTCAAGACCTGCTCTGATTGCTTGGTCAGTAGGCACACCCTCATCTTCATCATCAGCTGTTCCATCTATAGATTTGTTTACTTGCTTGATAAGGGCACTGAAGAGAAAAATAAAATCACAGCCTTGCATTTACTACAACTCCATTCTGTTTGACTGCCTTCATAAGTCCAAGACGCACATTTTATTTAATAAACTTAAGACCTATAAAACATAAGCCTATTATAAAATAAATACAAGTCAACTACATAAATTATCCAACTGTCCTCACCTCCCATTAAGCATTAAATTAAAAAAAAAAAAAAAAAAACATTTATCATGACTTAATCAGTAAAAAATAAATTACTCTGGAATGATGATCCAAGTAAACAAACAATTTGAGAATTAAAGTAACAAATTCAGGTTAGAATTATGATGAGTTTACTAGTTCCTATGAATACTTAAAAACTGATGCACAATAACCATCAATAACAGTAGTAGGCAAACAACTATTAAACAGCTGTTCAGGAAATTGATGAGAAATTTGACAGACTTATCTCCTGCACATTTCTCCTTGACAATAATGTTTGTTTTTTCTTACACTGTACCCTAGGAAGGTAAATGGCAATTATCCAAATGCTCTTGTGAGTGAGTGCTATAAGGCAACTTTCCTGCAAAGGACTGAACAAAATTCAGAATACTCCTTCAGTAAATTCTGTAAAGGATATTTATAATCACTGTGAGCAAACCAAGAAATAGATCTCCTATTAAGATTCTCATTTTTTTATGCACCTAACAGGACAAAAATAACTACCTGTCGGAAAATAAAACAATCTGACTGTCTCAAAAATGAAGAAAAAAAACTAAGTGAGAAAATTTACAAAGACCAACTCAGTAGCAAAACTAAAAATACTTACTCCCCTTCTCTTCTTGAGAGTCAGTCAGCATGCACACAGTGAAACAAACATTACAGCTTACCACATTCGGCTATTAAACATACATTTACATACATTTCATATTGCTTTTGTGATGCTTTTTAATGTACTTTCAAATTTGAAAGCAAAAATCTCGCTGTACTTTATCCAAGATCAAAAGAAAAGTTGTGTTTCTGAAAGATTTTTTAAATGAAATCTCAACACATTACACTGTGTACCTGACTGAAAAACTCAGGTACTTACAAGTCAGTGACTACAGTTGGAATTAGCAGAAAGGAATTTACCAGTATTTAGAACCAGTTTTCTCTAAAAACAGTACCACATATCTCAAATCTCTGTTAAATAATTATTTCAGCAATTACTTTTTTCACAGTCATAAATTCATTGGCTCACTTCTACTTAAACACTTGGTGCCTCGCGACCACAACCTTTACTTCCTCAGCTAAATTACTCAGTCTGTGGTACTATGAGCTAATATTCTGGATGAAAATTTTTAATCAAGTTTTTCAATTGCCATGGATAGAAATTTCCTTTTAAATAAGGCAGTCAATTGCAAACCAAACTTCCCCCATGAGTAATAAATCTACTTTTTGCTGACAGTTTATGCCAGCTGTGATGAATGACAAACAATTGTGTAGTTACACTCTGAATGGGGAGACAAAATCCCTTAGCAAGGAAAAACAAGAAAATACAGCTGGTCAGTAGGCTGCAAAATTTCCCCTCCCATAGTGATTCCATTATTGCTTGTGCTTAAAGGCAAAATTAGAAATCCTAATTTCAAATTACGTGATCTGCAGTCCACAACATGCTCACAGAATTACCTGATGGATTCAGTATCAATGTGCACAGGAGCAATTCTCTCAAGAAGAAACTTAATCATCTCCAAGAAAGGATTTGTTGGTTGTTTTGGGTTGCCCAACTTCTTTGTAATTTCCCTCTGCAACATAAGTTTCAGTTATGTTTATAACCAATTTATTTCTCAAAACAGTAAGGTATGCTAAGAGCTATTCTTACCACACATCCCTCAGCCTGTTTGCACGAACATGTTGGGCTAACAAGCATTTCTAATTGGCTTCTTATTTTTTCATCATCTTCTAGAACTTGTGTGAACTTCTTCATGAAATCCTGAGCTTTTCCTGGATCAGGAAGGTTTCCTTAAAGCATGCAAGAGAAATTACTATTTATTTTAGTAAATATTAGGACTGTAAGTTACACAAGTCTGAAACTCCTCACCAATAGAATTTCTGCATGTATTTGAGTTAATCAAAAAGAGAAGAAAAAGCAACAAAACATCTGAATGTGCAGATATACCTACGAGGAGACTAATTTTCAAACGCTTCTATACCCACAGACCTCTGTCCATTTCTTTACCCTTCACTTGTTTTCCCTTTCGCTTCTTAACAGTCATCCCATATGAACACAGTATACCTTGAGCAAGTATACTTGGTCACCTAGTAACAGCTGAAACTAACCACAGCAACAATATAAAGCCTATCATCCACAGAGAAGTACACTTTGTATACAGATAAGTTGATAAAACAAGCAAAAAAACTCAAAAACGCATTTTTGCTAAATTATTCCCCTTAAATCTAAACTTCACAATGACTTATAATGCCATAATCAACACTAAAAAATGCATTTCTTAAGCCACGTATTAATCTTATATTTATATTTCATATTTTAACAAGACAATTTATTCACAAAATATATTTGTATACTACGTCAAATGCTTCATGATTTTGGTACAGTAGATGTTAAGCAAAGTTGACATAGAAAATAGCGTACGACTATAGGATCACTAGTTCAAAACAAATTCTACTAAATATTTGGTTTAGTGCATGTTTTTTTAATTATTTCTTGAAAATGAAATGAAGAACTACAGCAATCAGAACTATTACAAACTGATCAGCTTTTATATTTATATATATAAACTAAATAAAAAGAAAAGAGGATGTTGGACACGGCCAACCAGGCAGCATCATTCAGACTGCCCTTATCGGTTTTTGGCCAAAAGAACAGTTAGCTTTTTTTTCTTCCTAAAGTTTTTTTAAAACCAAAATTTGAGATTTGTATATTAACTTCTCACTGGTTGTAACATCATTGGCACAGCAAGCCGGGGGGAAAAAGCACTGCTTCTTTTGTTCTCCTGCCATCTCCCTCATTTCCCCCATGTTTTCCAGAAGTTTTTCCATTTCCAAAGTGCCAAAGCCCCCAACTATCAAAACCCAAACTCTTTTTCATTCTCCCAACAACTCTGACTGTAATCGGATCTCAGAAACAGGTAAGGCAATATGTAATTTAGTAGGTTAATCAACATCAGTTAATATAGAATAAATGCTAAAGGACACAATAACACTACATCACCTACATTTAAAATTAATCTACAGCAGTTAGAAAAGTAGCCAAAATGTCAAATGATAAGCTTCAAGAATACTTTCTACAGTATGTAATTCTGCTTACAGTAAATACTTCCATTGACTTACTTGTTATTACCATCACTTTTGAGAATATAGCTTTACTGCTGGCATCTGTCTGCAAGTCAAACAGAAAAAAAAAGTAAAATTTTTAAACAATATATTTCTACTTGAAAATGGAATTAGCAAGAATAAACAAACAGAAATATTTTATTGCTATTTAATGAGCATTTTCAAGTAACTCTGAAATCTTAACAAGGGTCAGAATTGGAGCCTGAATGAAAATTCAAGATTATAGCAATAGAGCCAAGAGTTTATCAGGTTCCAAACCATAAAGCAAAACCACTCTTTTGTCCAGTGACTTTTTTTTTTTTCTGAAAGAGCATTCTTAGTGGCATAGATTACTAAATCTGCAGAAGTATTCATAAATATATGTAAGTAGTATCCATCAAGGGCTAGAACTACTTAATTTGTTCTCAGGACTATCATTTTAATGGGAACACAGCCACTCTCTAAGATTTTTCATCGAAAAGTATTTAATGTTAAAAAGAACAGCGCTTAGCAACCACCACTGCTAGAACTGTCTTTTAGAGAGCTTCCTTTAGAACAGACAATCCTAAAGATCACAAACAGGGAACAAGACAAAGACAAAAAATTCTTCATATCAAATTACTTAAAATGAGGTAAATGAAGACTGATGGTGGCTCTTTTCATCTGCTTCATGTCATCACTGAGCGGCGGTGTTGCAAGACACCACCATTTTCTTATGGAAGATCCAAAATCATTACAGAGCAGAGGGGAAACCATCAAGACAAAGGTGAAAGTCAAATCCAGGGATATCCAATTTCTATTTTCTTAGGGCAATTCAATGTAGATTTCAAACACGGTTCAAATAAGCCAGTCAGCTTTGGAGGTAACACTGCTTCTATTTATTACAGTAACTTGGGCTAATGCATTAAAGTGCCTGCTGTGTGTAGGGTCACCAACCAGCAGACCAGGCTGCTCAGAGCCACATCCAATCTGGCCTTGAATGCCTCCAGGGATGGGGCATCCACAGCCTCCTTGGGCAACCTGTTCCAGTGTGTCACCACCCTCTGTGTTGCATGTAGATCACAACACTTTTTCAGTCTCCTCAATCATGTTTGTTAAACAATAGAGCTTGCACTGGGGAAAGCAGTGGGCAATAAAAGAAAAGAGCCTCAGGGGGTGGGGAAGGAAAAACCCTGAAGAGTTTCACTAGACATCAAAATGATTTTCAAGGATGGGGGAAAAACAGTAGACTGGAAAATTCAAAGACCCATAATCGCAGAATAATTTGAGTTAGAAGAAACAATTGTAGGTCACCTGGTTGAAGCACCTACTCAGAGCAAGGCCAACTTAGTTTAGATTTTGCACCAGGCCTCACCTTGCTGTGTTTTTAAGTATTTACAAGGATGAAGACTTCACAGCCTCTCTGAACAAATTGTTCCCATATTTTATCATCCTCAGAGTTTGATTTCTTTTCCTCCTCATTATCTACTCAGAATTTTCCATTGGTCATTTTTTACACTGCTTCATGTCCTACCCCAAGATATCTCCAAGCTCTTCCAGTACATACACTTGCCATATGGAGAAAAAGTCAGCAATTAAGGTATTGTAACTAACAAATGTAGAAATCAGAGCAAAGTGAAAAATTTATGTATGGTAACATTAAGTTACCTTCTGAAAGGCTGCTGGTTCATTCAGTTTTGCTTTGTGAAATGAAAGAGTTGCTAGACTCCTGAATGACAATTTCCATTAAAAAAAAATGTTTTACTACAGTCAGCTGAGCATCTTTACTGGGCATAATTAGCAAAGGGCTGCTGGAATGACCTGGCAGAATAAGGTGAGTGACTGCCAGTGCCACACACAGCAGGTTTCAGCCAGCTCAACACTCAGCAAAACCAACCCATCTGCCAAAACTGGTCAGAGGAGGCCACAGTACCCACGTGGAAAAATATGAAGGAAAGGGTGGTAGCTGCTAGGGATGAGAAGCCAGGCAGGAAGGACAGCAGGGCAGAAGAGATCTGAGCAGGACCAGAGAAATGTGAGAGGAGGACAGGTGGAAGGGTAAGAGTTGCCAGAGCAGGGGTGGAAAGGAGAAACAAGGAGAAGGTATGAGTGACTCGAAAGGAACTGCAGCCAGTGGGTGCACCCACGGCACAGCAGTAGGAAAAGAAGTGAGCAGCAAAAGGAACTGCTACATCTACCATAGCAGGCAGCAAGGAGACTGGAGACCATGAAGCTGGAAAGAGAAGTGTCTGATGGGAAGCCTAAGGGGGTTTCGCTAAGTGTTTGTTTGCTTTTATTTCTGAATATCAGAATCAATAATCAAAATTGTTAATTGATAACAAACCAAATTCAGCAATATTCCATCACTCAGCACTGTGTTCTCACCCCTAACTCTTTCAATTGAAATGCAGAAAATATTAAGCAAACTCAGGTATAGGATTACACCTAAGTTGATTTAAATTATACTAAAAATATAAAAAAGTAGATTGAAATTATTTCAGTCATCACTTAAACATGAGGAAGTGTTACTTATTAGCAATTACTGCATTTAGAGTTCAGTGCAACGTTATAGCACGTTTTAAATGCACTCAACATCATAATTTCACTGCAATCAGCTTAACTACAAAAGGACTGAAGCAGTACGATTTTAATAGGTCTCCTATGTTCAAGATAGTAGTACATCCAAGTAGACACTAAGTAATCCACAACTACACTTGTGTAAACACAGCTACCCTCTCATCCTGCTCAGGTAATTTCAGCAAATTGATAATTCAGCCATAGAAGTGCAATTATGTTTTAGTAAATACACATAGAGAACATAAAAATACTGGAAGATATGAATATGAGCACAGCAACGCTTCAAATTTTTTTATATTTTATTTTTAAAAGCCTCAAATTAAGAAACTTTTACCATTAAAGTTGCTATGCTCACATTCTAAATCAGCCCCAGAATTCCATCTTTTTTTCAAATGAGAATGTGCACATACAAATAAAACAAATCTAAAATTTACCTTGAGAATATTCTAAACCTTCTAGGACTGTTTATTTTTCTTACTGAGCAAATTTCTAAACAAAGATTTCCAGTGTAGTCTAACATTTCCAACATAGCATTTAAGAAGTTTACAAGAGAGAAGAGGAACACCCAACCTATTGGGATAAAATATATTTCTTAATTGTTACTGAGTTACATAAAAAAAGAAATCAGAAATTTCAGACACGTTTTCTTAATTGCTCAAGTTGGTAGTTAAAAATGGTATGTTGTTTTTCCTCTTTCAGGAGCCAGAACAACCCTGGCAGATGTAACTCAAACACTGGCAGCATGTATTTCAGCATCAAATCTCTGGCACAATTTTTAAAGAATTTCTTACGAGCATCTCTCTCTTCACTCCTACTGACAAAGGGCATTGCACATCTCTTACTGCAAGCGTAGTCTAACAATCAAAATATTTTCTGTCATTAAAAAGGATTTTGAGGAACACTGGCATTAATGTAATTAAAACAGGTTATATTTTTACCTAAAACATATTCACTGTGGAATAAAGACAAATGAAACTTACTTTTGGTTGTTTTATTAGGTCAACCAAATCTTTTACTTGATGTCGTAGCAGATTCTGACATTTCCACATTTCATTCAATGCTCTAAAAATTAAAAAAATAAAAAATAAAAAATAAAAAATAAAAAAAAAGGAGAATAGAACAGAAAAATCAAAGATGATGGAAAAGAGAAGGAGAAAGTTTTCTAAGTCTCCTATTCATTAAATAGCATAACATCTAACAAGAGCCTCCACATTTTTCTCAGTGTCAGACTCAGGAAGGTGCCTGTCATCCGAAATTTTATCACTGTGTGAGCAAACAGTAAATGTTCCCTAAAAGAATAACATGGAAAATTTAATTGACCATATTATACTGGAATAAAGAATGATTTCAAACATTTAGCTGCACTGCCTTTAAAAGTGGGTAATAACTGGTATCTGCCTTGTAAAGAACTTATTTGTACAAGACCAAAGTCACTCTTCTAAAGACGATCAAAGAAGCACGGTAAAGCAGATATTTAAGATTTTAATCATCAAAACAATTCCCAGAAAGCACCTACTAGGTGTCCAAAACTGTGAAAAGCAGGCACGATTAGACTTGTAAGGGAGGCATTAGAGAGAGTCTACAAAAGTGAAAATTAGCAATGAAGGAAAAATAAGTCATCTTTAAAAAAAAGTAAATCACCATTTTGATTTAAAAACTTGTAGAATCCAAAAGGAAAAGTCAGTCCCATTTAACTGAATATACTACATCTTCCAAATACATCCTGCAGCATATGAAAACTGTAGAATTCAAAAGCTATTTATTGTCTGAAACATCAAGTACTGAAAAAATGCCATTCCACATTTAGTTTAGCCCATACCAGAAATTACTACAACAGTAACTTCTTATTACTATGTTTTTAATTTCAGCATTACAACATTGTATTATTTTTGACTACATTATACAGAAAATGCAGGGCATCCAAACACCCAGTACTTCAATGCTGTAGTTGATTTTAGCCATTCTATGACATTATCTCCCATATGTGAAGAAATACATTTGATTTTTGAGCAGCCGGGAACTACGAAATGAAAAATGAAGTAAAAAAAAAAAATCAAGGAAATTCAATCAAACAGCAAACATTAAAATAGCAAAACTGTCATTAGTCTAGTTCACAATTTTAAGTTGGAGAGGGCAAATAATTGTCTGCTATAAACGTAATTGTAAGTAAAATGCATATGTAAGGAGAAGAGGCAAGCAAGCAATTTCTTCCCACTCTTAAGTCATCTTGGCTGCTAAAATGAGGACTGTACTAATTCCAAAGTTGTCAGATAAGATCTAGTGCTAGTAAATGCCACTAATCTATGCTACCTCTTTCCAGATATAGAAGGACTGACATGCACACAAGCTCTTTGGCAGCTCTTTGGCACTATATATATATATATATTTTTTAAGTTGTCTATGGTTAAAATGTACCACACCTTAAAAACCACCCTATCATTTTTTCAGACTCTCACTTGAGGGAGCATACTGTAAATGCAATACTGATAGTTTGTGAACTGCTCTTGTATGCTGGCTTAGGCTAGTCATAACAATTTAGGACTAATTTACAATAACAACTGTATTAAAAATTATGTTGCATTAAGTAAAAAAAAAAAAAAAAAGCACATACTTCACAGCATTTGAATCCAGTGTTGCGTAAAGGTAATACAAACATTTCATTCGTTCATTTGTTTCCAAGTTGTGAGGGACCATGTACTGAGCAAAGATGCGTTCAACAAGTAATCTGAAAGCAAGAAATTGACCTCAAATTGTTAATAAGTTCATTCAGAAATTCTCTAGAAATAAGTTCTGGCATATCAAGATTCAAAAGCCTCAAGGTGAGGCCACTTAACTTTCAGTAAAACTCATCTCTGAACAACAAGATACCTAAGGAAGTCATAATATTGACGTTAGCAGAACATTTATTAGCTGACATTATCAAAATCAGTTACATACATCTAGATAAAAATCAAAGGATGTCTCAATTATCAGCCTGAAGGATTAGTTTCATGGTCTGCTCTTGAGTTGATGCAATATAAGGGGCTTAAAATAGAAATAAAAATCATGTTGATTATTAGGCATTATCACAAAGCCCAGAAGGAGAACTCAGATAGTAGTCTTGGCTTTTCCCCTACTTCTCCCCAGCCCTTTCCCAAGGGGAAACGTTTATCTCATTTCTGTTGCTTCCATAGTGGAATTCCAAGTACATTCACATCGAAATTAATGAAAGTTCCTACTAGAACATGGAACATCCTTATTTAGAGACAGAATGAAACAAACTTTAGGTCTGTCAGTTACCAAAAAAGACTGTGAGAAGAAAGAAAATCACACCCATGTTGCTATCATATTGCAAACATTTAGTCTGAAAGTGAGAACAAAATCCTCATCCTTATGTGCCAGTTTACGTTACTAGAGTCTTCCAACAAGATCAGGTGGTCAAAATGCAAGCTCAGCTAGTTTTAAAAGATCTTGACATTTTCTTACTTTTCTTAAACTGTGAATGAGGATCTGATGTTCAAGACAATTCCTCCTATCTTCGTGGTATTAAGGAAATAATTGCTAATTTTGCAGGTGACATTTCTGGAGAGTACAATTTTTTACAAAGCCTTGTGTAGGTTTGTAATGTTATCTGTATTTGATTATCCTATGAAGAACAAAGATCCATCTCCAAAGCCATCAAGATGATATTGATTAGTCAAGGCAGACTAGCTCCCACTGTGGGTCCAGAGGAGGGTCAGGAAGATGGTAAAAGGGCTGGAGCACCTCTCCTATAAAGAAAAGCTGGGGGAGCTGGTCTTGTTTAGTTCTCAGAAGAGAAGGCTCTGGGAAGACTTCATTGGGTCCCTCCAATACTTGAAGGGAATTTATAAGTAACAGGGGGATCAGGTTTTTATGCTGTCAAATACTGACAGGGAAAGGATCAAAGGCTTTAAACTGAAAGAGGGGAAATTTAGGTTAGATGTTAGGAAGAAATTCTTTCCTCCAAAAGTGATGAGGCACTGGAAGAGGTTGCTCAAAGAAGTCGTGGATGCCCCATCCTTGGACAAGGCCAAGTTGGATGGAGCCATGGGCAGCCTGATTTAGTGGTTGGCTACTCTGCCCATGGCAGGGGGCTGGAACTAAATGATCTTTAAGGTCCTTTCCATTCTACGATTTCATGAAAATTTGGCTGTGGCCACAGAGGATTATGCACTTCTTCAAAACATACAGAATGAGTACCTTGCCAACACTTAAGCTCAGAGGAAAAACAGATTGAAAAGTTATCACACCTATCCAAAAAATATCCAGCTTCCAAAAGACTGGCTTACCGGTCATCAATACTGTTTTGATAATATATATGCAGAAGTTTATCTTTGATCCATGATATCTGTTTTGCAGCTTCTTTTCCTGCTTCTGACTGTAACGAATATTTCTTGTATATCTGTGCAAGTCCCATCATAGCTTCTTTCCTCACTCTCCACTTGAAAAAAAGAAATAGTGCCACAATTTAAATTTTAAATTATAATTTAATTTGAATTTTAAATTTAGCAGTTTAAAATTCAAACCTGAAAAACTCCGGAACTTCCTGATAGGTAATTTCCTATTCTTCCTCCAAATAAAATAGTTCATTTTTTCTTTAAAGTTTGAGTAATAAGCACAATATTTTCTCTTTAGGACAAACACTACACTACATCTATTATGCTAAACATATCAACATAGGTAAATACTATACGAGCACACCTCTTGAATTTAGAATAATAAGCAATTCAATCCAACACCCTTTCTCACAACCTGTATTGATACTTGAGATTGTATTACATCTGTAGCAGGAAAAAACATGTCACCAAACAAGAAGTCAAGTGACAATTTTAAGATTGCATACTTAACATAATATAACACACTATAACATAAACAGCAAATCTCCTACGCTTTGCCAAATAACCAAACAAAGCTAAACTAAACTTTCAGGCTGCTCACATTTGAAAGCTACTACACTCGCAGTCTTCCAATGATCTAATTAAAATTAAGCAATCCAGCTATCTCCAGTGGCAAAACAACTTGCATCAATAATCTGCCATACATTTTTGAAATCGGTTCTCAAAATCTCTTATGAAATACGTCAATGTTATAGAAGGGTCCAATTTTATTTTAAAATTATGAAAACTAGACAACTGGAACAAAGAGTAATCAAAATATAGTATATGTTGAAACACAGTTATCATAATACTACAGCACAACGAAAAATGCTGCAGTTCAGTCAGGGGCAAAAGGTGCCTCATTAAATACACTGCTTCAAAAAATTTTTGCTTTACATGAGTTTTCATTAGACATTTTAAAAGTAGTTCAACATTTTTAGAAGCATTACTTTTAAGAAACAAATCCAATTACAATAAGATGCAAGAGAAGAGAAGACACTATTGGTACTAATTATGTCTTACCCGCTTGTCCAGCGTTCGTTCTCTGACAAAATTAAGCAGGTGATCATTGACAAGCAGAAGATCTTTTTTAGCAGCAGTAACTATGGATACAATAACATCATGCCTTATCGCCTCTTCAGGATCATGGGACCTTACTTTAAGATACTCTGGGGAAATAAAAACAAAATAAGTACTTCATTTTAAGAACACAGCTTCAGCTACTTTTATTTCTCTAGAGGCTACCCCAACTGGCAGACATGGAAAACCATGGATTTCTACAGTTTGGAGCACTGACAGTAAGAAACCACTAATTTTCCTTCACTGGAATGTCTGTAATAAACTTCTCATTTGCTTAATATATTAAACATTTATTATACCTACATTAGCAACTATTATAGTCCAAGAGAATTGGAAGCTGAGTACACAGTGCTAGGAACTTGATACCCACACTATATGCATTTTAAAGCCTTACTTGTGGCTAGAGGCTACTCTCTTCCTGCAGACTCCTATATGCCCTTTGACTTACAGAGGGCATTACTTGCACTCCTGAATACAATTTGCTTACTTTCCAAATTGAATCTAGTTCAAATGCTCTAGAAACACTCCACAGTGTGAATCATGTAAGCACAGTAAGCTGAGGCAGATAAAAAAGCATACTCAAGTAAGCTAGATGTTGACTCAGACAAATCCTTATTTACTCAACTTAAAGCAATTTTTCTAGATTACTTTGGCACATTGCTTCTTATTTGTAGTACCACTAATCTTTTCCTACAAACATCTGACGATTTCTGCTGGTAAGTATCAAATGTTTTAGGAACTTTTATCATTTTAGAAAAGCACAAAACAGATGGCAAACTTCATTTATCTTTAAATGCATTCTAGCTTAACTTAGAAGCACACACTGGTAGGAAAATGCACATAAAAGGCCTTAAGATCACTGTACACAGCACACATCAGTGAAACACTAAGAGCATTAGGAAACACAAAAAATTCAAAGTTTGCTCTAAATCATCAGAAGTTACTGCACTCATTAGCATTCAGTGAATGATCATTCCCAAGCCTCATCTGAAATACCCACCCTTACTTGGTAATCAGCACAAATGTCAAAAAAAGAAAAGTGCATAAGCAACTGAAGTTATGAAATTTTAAAAATAAACAGCTTTTTGAAAAGAATGTTCCACATGAAAATGAACTAAAACAATTGAAGAAGATTGCCATTGCACAATTATTGTCTACAACACCAGTAAGAGAAATTCTTGAACAATTTGTCTGTGATAAGCACTGTGGGAAGAGAAAGGGGCAAGCTACGTTACATTTCTCAGAGGATACCATTAGAGGGGGCACAATGTCTTTCAGCAATTCTAAAAAAGAAAAACACCTTGAAAATACACTTCTGAGAATCTTTACCGTTCCCATTAAAGAAAAGTCCTAGGTTAACAATACAATAACTATTATGTGACTTCAGCTTGCACGTATTTGTCTAAACTGGCAAACGCTCAGCAGGCAGGAGGGAAATCCCATGCAATTAACAGCCCCTTAAATCTCCTCCTTAGGGAAGACGGTCAAACATACCACCTCCAAAGTGGGAGCTGAGCGATCAGGGGAAGACGCAGTCTTAACGTAAACTTTGAAAAAAGCAATCAATTCCATTAATTGCACTTTTATTCATTAAGACATAGGGGAGAGACAAATACCAAATGCTTTTATCCATGCCACTTGCCTTCCTCCTACAGAGATCTTGAATTACTGGCTGTATTTGATACGGAGGAGAAAGCAATGGCTGTGGTCACAGTTCCAAGGACTGTTTTGATACCTTAGATAGTGGCTACATAATATTTACACATTCTTGCTTTGTGGAACTTCAGTCTATACTCTGCACCTTAATAAATGCCATGACTAGTTAGCTGGCTGGGCTGCTTTTGCCTGATCCCACGGTGCTTAATTTCAACAGCAGTTGGGAATGCAACTACTCCCAAGACAAGGAAGGTACTCTCCTTTGGATTAAGGCATTCTTTGTATGCCGTCTCTTTATCTGAGAGGCAGCACTGGAAGGTAAGAGATTCTGCCATTAAGAAATCCAATCTCTATTATACCCTCCACAATGTCAGAGAACACTACTAAGTGTTACTACTACCCTTCCAGACTTCTCCACAAGACTTACAATGATATTTTCATGTTATAATAAGTCTGGTACCTGTTAAGTCTTTTGCTAGGTCGGGATGGTTCATAAGGCAGTGACTTGCAAATTTCACACATTCAAGACGAATAGGTACATGGATATCATTAAACCTATTTTGAAACAAGACAGAACATTACAACAAGAACAGTGACAACAACAACAACAAAACCATAAAAAAAATAGTCACTCATTACTCACTTATTTCTACACAATCTCCAATACTCCCTGAAAAGATTTTCACACTTCCTATGCACGTTTACATGCACAGAACAGCTCTAATTTCCTAGAATTCATTTGATCGTCCTTAAAAAAAGTCTTGTGCCCATGTATTGATTCCTGTTCTAAAGAGGAAGGGAAATATTCTCCCTGGTACACATGAAAAACTCACAGGCAGACAACAGTTATTTACTGAAAGATGTCTTACATTTTAAATACCATTTCTCTAACCTTCCAGCTACTTAAGCGTGAACTGTGAATCAGCACCTGAAAAAATGTTGTAAAATGCTGATGTTCCTCTCTTCATGAACCAATGGACACCTAACCTACTACCAAGTCCTAAGAACGATCCATATTTCATCTTCAGTAAAATTGACTTTTGAAAGACTGAACTAAATTTGATGCTTGAAAACTGGCATTTTCTCATGCTTAAGTTTGATATAAATAACGATACGAACAAAACTATCAACATAATAAGGGCTCCCTTCTTCCGAAAAATAAAATGCATTTTTAGGGCATCACAATGTCTGGTTTTGAACAACTTGTAATCAAATTTTATTACACTTTTTTGTACAAATGCTTATTTATCAAATAAGATGTTTCAAAAAATGTCTACTTTAGTAAAAGTTAGTTATGTTTTCTGAATGAAAATATTTAAGAATGGCTTCTCTACTAACAGCTATTTTAACTTATTTAAAGCCCTTGAAAAGTAAATACACGTTTGTGGTTCATAACTAGCTGAAAACAGTAATCATGAAAAAAATATATGACTACATTGTTTCATATTGCAACACAATGCATTATTTTATTTGGAATCCAATTTGATCTGTTATTTCTAAGTGAAATGGGATGTTTTAATTGTTACATACTTTCAAGCACAAAGCTTTCCCTCCATTAAGTTTCCTATACTCTTAGAAGCAGCATTTCTCTGAGGACGTTCTGTGTTTGATACCACTGAATGCGAAATTACTACAGCATTAATAATAATTAACAGAATTAACATAATTTATCTTTATTTACTCAAGAATATTTTCATCACAGCAGACATTCTTGACTTCTTTCTGACTACAAGTTCCAGCTTTATTTCCTGTATCAAACTGGCAGAATATTTCAAAAACAGAAGACTGCTTTCTGCACTGTAAATACTACATGCTTCTTTTAAAGTAGTCAAATTATACAAAGAATTAAAGCCAGAAAACAAATACTGTACATGAAAACTTCATCAAAAATAGATCTGGTAACATCCAATACTGCAAACATCACTTGATATTGTTTTAAAATTAATCCATCATTGAGTAGTGTCACTTGTAAAGAAATACAAATAAAGACAATTGTTTCTTTTTATTGGAAATAGCAGTAGAGATAGTGGCCAAAAAAAAAAAAAAAAAGAAAGAATTAAAAAGTGAGGACTTTTAATTGTCCACTCTGCAGAATCAAAAATGCAGAAGATGTATATAAAATAATCTCCTAACCATTATCTGCCAGATGTCAGACACAGCAGAGGGGGGCACAGTTAACTGTACCATTTGAGAGGAGAAAAAAAAAGGCGGGGAGAGAAGGAGGAGAGGAAGCTGTTTAAAAATACTGAATTACAATTCACTGAATGTTTTCTGCCTCCTGTGAGTGGAACTAACATAGCATACCTCCCCAAGTAGCACTGCCACAGGGGTTTGTTCTGAGATGCCAATTCTGAATCCTTCGCCCCAAACATTTTTGCTAGAAGTTTTACAACCTGCAGGCGTTCTTCATTGTCATTGCTCTGGAAAAAGAACACATTTATTAAAAGAAGTCAACCAACCAACCAACGCCACAAGCCTGCCAAAAAGCACGAAGTACTGTTTTGTACAGTTTTTATACCATTATGCACCTCCCCCACCATTCCTCCCAACAAGGAGGAAATCGCTATAAAAAAAATTTTCATGCAAATGTGTATCTTGAGAAAAAAAAAAACAAAACACATCAATTAATGCTGGGAAAAGACAAAATAACGAAGGCAGCGAAAACAAAAACAGAGGGAAAAAGCTTCCTGAACAAAATCTGGTGAAAAACACAGACATACATCTTTTCAAACTTCCAGTACAAGTGTTGCTGCTACAAAGTCTGATGCTGTGCCTATACAAACATATACAAAATCAATCACAGCACATAAGCCTCAAACCCCCACCTACTTCTCTGTAAGTTATCTAGGACATTCGCCTTATCTGGAACTGTTCTTCTCAACAGTTTTACTACAAACAAAATGTTTTCAGAGCACAGATTTCTAAAGCGTATCAAAGTACCCAACATCTTTCACACACAGTAACTGGACCTATATTTAAAGATGCTAAGTTAAAACAGATGCTTTTCTTCTTCTTTAAAAACTAACATTAGCAAAAATAAAGCAAGACTTTCTTTGGTACATTTCCAGTAGTGCTGGTTTGCACCGCACTTATTTAATGCAATACACAGCATATGAAGCTTAAAACATACTTTGCAAAGCTGTGCTAATATTTCTGCAATTGGTACATACTTACATACATGCAATTAGTACATACTTATACTCGTTCTTCATTGCAAAAAAAAAAAAAAAAAAAAAGAAAAAAAAAGCCAGCTGCAGCACTTCTTTGAAAGCAGAGCAGCAGAGCTGAGTTGGTGTTAACTACTTGATAATCACCTCTCATAACTTCCATCTTCTTTATTCCAACAGAAAAAGACCTTTTCCAATACCATTCTTTTCTGTCATCTTTTAAATTTTTATTAGTTCAACATCACAATTTGAACACAAAATAAAAGCCCATTGTAGTTATCAAAGTTCTGTAACACACCATTCTTAAGACCAGCTATTTCTCCTACCAGATTCAGCACCATAAATGAGCTGAAAAGTGCTCCAGTACGTCCTTTAATTCAGCTCCCTAAGAACAGTAAACGGATATTTAAAATCCTTCAATAGCAGAGGAAGATAAGTTAAGGATGAAGAAATCTCTGACGCTGTTGTCTTACTACATGACATGAAACTGTAACACTTTTGAACAAACCTCAGTATTTAATATTAGCACATTTTATCTGCATTTGACTAATTTTTCCAATTTGAATTCAGATTGACTATTTACCAAGTCACATACAGCCTCCTCTTGGAGTGCAGTTAGTAACATCTTTTTTTCCTCTCTAGTTTGAGTTCATAAGCATATGTTACATAATCAATTCTCAATTCCCCAATTTTTATTCTTATTAAATGAACCCACTGTTGTTATAGTCTCTCTTGCATATTCTACTTCTTCTACTCTACATACTCTTGTATATAGAATATACTCTTGTTTATTCTACTTGTTCTACTCTATTCCTTCTTCTGAGGAAAAAGTCAGTAACACAAGCTCTTGATAAACCATAATCCTTCCCCCCCGTGATGCTCTGTGTCACAGGACTTCAGACATTTTTTCTTAGGTGCAGCCCAATACTCTAATCTTGACCGTGTTCCCTAATGGCTCTCCAATAGGAATTGACACTGAACACACATTTCCAATTTCTTACACCCTGCTCAACAGCCACAGGCAGCCACAGTTCTGCCTACATCCTATGGACTCCCACTAACAGCAGCTGAAGGTGGTCAGACAGTTATGACCAGCAAGTTCAAAAGAATGGGCACTGATCTAGAGCAATTTAGGAGAAATATACATGACCAGAAACTTGTCAAAAATTTTACTGTGTCCAGAAAGAAAATTCTGAAGTAATAAAAGTCAGCATTTTACAAATTTTATTTATTAAGTAACATTGATTTGATAGAATAGAAAATGAAGACCTACAGTCCATTATGGTTATTCCCTAAATGCTCCCTTCATGAGCTTTTCATTCTCCTGAATATTAGATGAATATTCAATTTCAGTAATAAAGATTTCTAAACACACCACTGGATTTCTAAACACACCACTTTTTAATGCCAAAATCAGGCATTAATTACTGATCCTCACTATAGAGTGAGGTAAGTTAGATGAATTTCAATGAATTACCTCCTGTTGGTCCCTCAGTTCCCTCTCCAGAATAAGGTTAAAGAAATAAAATTAATCACAAACAAGAGGCAACCATGACTTTTGACACCAGGCTCCAAGTGTTAGAAGTTAGCAATACTCCTTTCCTGTTCAAACAGGAAAGCCATGGGAAACCTTTGCTAGCGACAGCCTGACAAAGGGGATCCTGCCACCTTTCCTCAACAGCCAGAGGGTAGTAACTTGATGGAGACAGAGGTGAATGGATACAAATCTACTCAGGGCTCCTTCTCATTTATTTTGGCTTCCCACATGCCCTTATATAGCAGATGTGAGACTCGGGAACTGGAAGAACAGGGTCGTGATGAGGCGGATGGTCCATCTAAGCTGGAGGAGCCGCCAAGGTCAGGCCAGCCCATCCTCCACACCACGATCATCTCAATGAAGAAAAACATTGGGCCAATTCACCCAAAATTCCACCCACCCTCATTCTACACAGAGACAGAAAGGGGAAAAAGTGGAAGCTGAGAAGACTTGGAATTGAGACAGTGATAGTTTATTAAGGAGAGAAGATGCGTGCACAAGTACCAACACAAGCCATTCTATGATTCTATGAAAGGACAGGAATTTATGCACTACTTCCCACAGGCAGGCAAATATCCCGCCCACTCTCAGCATGCATGTTTTTTCTTTTAGGAGATATTACAATCACAGTAGTTCTCCCTTCCTTCTCCTTTCCTGAGCTTTCATTGCTGAGCACATCCCCTTCCCAACCTCTCGTCTCACTGCAGCCTCCTAGCTAGGAGAAGAAAAAGCCCATACCTGTGTGAACACTGTTCAGCAAAAGCCAATGCATTAGAGTATTAGCAACAATGTTTAATCCACAAAGTCCAGCACCATTAAAGCTATTGCAAAGAATATTAACTCCATCCCAGTCAGATACAAATGGGTAAATGGTTTGTCTATTTTTATTCTGTACATGACATGCATGTCAATTCTCTTCAAGACTGCTTAAAAGATTCTTGGGATAGATAAGACAAAAAGCAACTGAGGGAACGAAGCACACAGCTGCATGTTTCAAAGAACACTGCTTACTGCCAGGCAACCTTTCACTCTTTATTTAAGTCAACATGTATAAATCCAACAGCAATTAAGAATTACCTGTTACTGACCAAAAGACCAGTAATAGTACCAAAGATTCAAGGTGACTGAACACTAGGTGGCCACATTGTTTAGATCCAAAAATATTAAAGATGTACAGAGTTGCTGGAGGACCTATGCTCTCTTGCAAGTCCAAAAATTGATCTAGTCATCAACAGGAAAGACCTTGAATTTTTCCAGACTGAAAACAAACAGCCTAGAACTTCGGTCAGACCCCCAGTCTCATGAAGAAACCATGAGGATTCTTGCCACAAAGACTAACAAGGAAGTTCAGGGAGATGGAGTGCAAAATACATGGAACCTGTCAGGTAACAAGTCACAGACATGTTGTTCACTTCCTCAAGACTCTATCAATTGTAGAGACTGAGAACAAGGCAGTCCAATCAAGTGGCAGCGGACAGTGGTCTGTGAAGCTCACTTTGTCATTGTGATTAAACCACCACCATTTCTAAAGTATACCACAAAACTGTTAGAAGCAAAGAAATCAGACACAACAGAGAAAGTCAGGTTCATGTGCAGAATTTACAACTAGAGGAAAAGTTGCTGATAGCAGGAAGAATCAGACTAGAACAGGATCTCTATCTCAGGGAAGCACCCAACACTAGTACTGTGAGGTTATCCAACTGTCAATAGGAAATATGCAAACAAGCCCTTAAGGAGCTAGTCGAGAGTACCTAAACCTTTCACAGTCCTCAAAGAACTGGGGAAAGTCCTTAAAATTGGAACAGTCAAGATCAACAGCATCTTGTTTTCCTCCTTCACTCTAACTAGAATTTATGGAAGGCAAGACACCAGCCTTTGCCATCACAAAACAGCTGCACATTGAAAGAACTTCACAGATCTCAGTCTGCCCCTCGGACACCCCTTTCATGGAACAAGAGTCTTCAGTAGCCACAAGTCTCCTGAACTCAATCAAGTCTCCCTGATGCATCTCAAACAGAAAGGAGGGAAAAGATGGACAAATTAGTGCATATTCCTTTTCAAGCCCTCAATACCAAGCAGCAAAATAAGCATGTCATCAGAACAAAGACACACTCTTTCTAGAATTTAAGTTCTCAACACCATTACCATTCTTCCAAGGTCTTGTCTTCAAATCACAACACCAGCTAAACAAGAGTAAAACCAGGACAACTCGTGATTTCCCACTTTGTTCTCAAATGGTATCCCAAAAGTTTAAGATTCTTTTTCCCTAAGTTGCCAATAATCAAGTACCGCAGAATCTGTCTTAGCTAAGCCCACGTAACATCATTCTTTCCTTATACAGATGACCAATTACTATTCCCAATTCATTTTAAAGACCTATGCCCTGCTGAGTTGACCTCCATTGCTCTCCAGGCTTCACGTGACAATGCCAGCACATTTTAAAAATCAACATTTAGCATCTCTACAAAACCAGTTCTTTATCGCTCTTCGCAGGTAAAAGGAATTTTTAGACAAGTCAAAATAACTTAGAAAGAACAGTTCTTAGATAAAAAATGACAGAAACTGCAAAGACCAACAAAAATACTTCGGTTCTTTTCAAATAATGTTTCACTGAAATGATCCAAAATACTGGCTGTGGTTTGAATTCATGCAGAGCTCATCAAGGTTGTGTCTGAAAATATCTTTTAAAGCATCTCACAGACTGGCACACTTGGTATGTAGCTCAGATGAAGCCTACAATAGGTCTATTCCACGTGGCCAAAATGTTTTCTAGCTCACCACTTTAGAAGTCAATTATAAAGCAAATGCACACTTTCCAAACATACAGCAATTACCCAATTTTTCTTTGAAAGGAACCTCTCACAGTCCCCATTTCTATTTGCTCAACACCTGAAAATAAGATCATGCTGACTTCTTCACTCCTCAAAAATTGACACTGCAAGTGCTGAGACAATCAGAGCTTTCTTTCAATCTCTTCCACTTTAGGAGTACTACAAATCTCTACCATCAGAGAAAAACAGTAACTGTCACACTGCATCATCAGCATTTGAGAATCACCCCTAGTATTTAACTTTTATTATCACATCAGTATATCCAAAAGCAGAAGCAGAGCTCAGTGAACAAAAATTAGATGTTTCTGCAAAACTATGCACGACCTAAACACACTCCATTCCTGCTTCTATTTAAATACCTAGTAGAGTCCCCAGCATGCAAGCTTGTATGGGTGAGCCCCTGAACAACAAACTATGCACAAAATTCAGAAAAGCCCAAACCATCTGGACAAGCTCGTAATAACATGCAAAGCTCATTGAATTTGCACTACTAAATTTAATTGGCCTTTATCCAAAAAGCACAACTCCCTTCTCCTATCAGAAGTCCCCTATTAGGGACTGCCAAACATATTTCTCTCCTTTACCACCCATTTGATCCAAGGCTTCATTAAGCTAACAGAGATACTGCTGTCCAATTTCTTTCCATTCAAATCAGCACAACATTCGCTGCCTTCCACCATAAGGCTCTCGAGTTTCTACTGTAATCATACTCTCCCCAGTGTACTCATACACACTTTATTTGGACCTGAATCCAAACTGCTTGACACTAGCTGCCACTGTTTAGTATAAAGCCACAGCTGTTGTTGGAGCACAGAGTACTTACACTGTCACTTGCAAGACTGCAGAAAGAACTTGTGCTAATCTCAGACAAGCTGACTGTAGTTCATTAATAGGTCAAAACATTCATCTTCAAAGTACTCTTTTAACCACAGGAAGGCCTCTTAACTCACTTAAAACAGGATTATACTACTCCATATAAAAGTTTTATGAGTTTGGAGTTTTATTTATTTTTACTATAAAAGATGTACCAAATTAGATGTGACAGCCAATAGGACAAGGCAAGCATACAACTTCATCCTTGTAATCTGAAGACACCCAGTGCAACAAAACCACTCACAGTAGCACTACCGTGCACTGCAGAGAATCACCGAGGCCTCCGGAGATTAACAAGAGATCAAGGAATAAGAACAGTAACAATGTAGCTATTAAAAGTTACACCTAATGGAAACATTTTAGCACTTGTAACATCCAGCGCTAAAAGCGCCAACCTCCTCACCCTTCGGGCTTCCGGCTGTAAGAAGCTGGAGTAGGACTGAGGAGAGAGGAAGCAACAAAATACATGCTTATGACCTAAGAAGAATATCCTAAACAAAGAGCAGGAATGCAGACATGAAGAAATTTCTCTTAAAGGGAGACTAAGAAACCAAGGAAAGGCTGAGAACCAAAATCACTCAGCTGATTTTGGAAGAAACAAACAGACAAAGCTCCTGAAGGAATTGAAAAAAAGGTTTGGCTACTAAACTTACTTATTCAAATGGTAAAAAGGGACATAAGCAGCATGAATAGAAATAAAGGAATATGCAAGTCAATGTAAAGCGTGGCACATTAGGAGCACAAGATGATTCAAGAAGCTACAGTTTTAAATGGACCTAAAATGGAAAGATGACTGCAATTACAGCTATGGAAAACACACACAAAAAAAAACCAAAGTAGCAGCATTTAAGATTAAATCTTATGAATAACAGCTTCAGATGCACAAACTGTGTTTTTATTGGAACTGGAACAGTGATTGTTCTCCATCTCTAGGAACAGGCATTAAAGGCTGAAAAAGATCTGCTTTAAAGACAAAAGGCAGGAAGTAAACTGAGGCCTACTTCTTTTTCCAGAAACATGAATTGAACAGGAAAGATACATTAGAAACAAATCATACCACAGCACAGCGTGTCTGCAAGGAAAGATTAGTGAAAAAACTGCAGATGTGATCAAGTTGTCATCTAATGAACTGGCTACAGGATCTTCAAATCTAGACTTTGTCTTTAATAATTAGAACACATCCAAACTTATAAAGTCGCCCACCGCACAGCAGCCTTTAAGTTTAGTGAGGAATTAAGTTTCCAAGTTTGTAACACTAAACCTGATCAAATTCCCCATGCTCTTGCACAGGAACCTTGTGGAACAACAAAATGAATTAAAACAAAGAATAGAAGAAAGGGAGCATCAGCTGCTATGCTGACTTTCTCCAAGTGATAAAGATGCACAGAAATGGCACACAGTCAAGAAGAAAAACATGAAACCAAACAAGTTTTTTTTTCAGGTAGAAGAAATGAGCTTGACTAAATCAGAGGTTCATTCACTGCAGCAATGAATACAAGACTTATTTCTGTTTCCACCTGTGAAAGACCTCCTATTTGATAGAAACTGCATCAGTTCCCATTAGCATGGGGTCCAACCTACCCCTGACGGATTTTGCTATTCAGAACAGATGTAGATTCCCTGCACAGCTAGTAGTGCAAAATGCTTTCACCACATTGAAGTCCTTCACAATAAACACTACAGTAACCAAGGACCACAACAGACCAGATTCTCAACTAATTCACAAATTAGTTTTAACACAAACTGTTTTAACATGAAGCTGTTGCTTGAACGATACAAACATGCACACCTGTATTTTACGTTGATACACTGAAGTTAAACTACTCTCAAGTGCTTTTGTGAGTTTTAAGCAATGCAGAGATGTGTTTTACATCTAAAAACAGGCAAAAAAAAAAAAAAAAGGACCATGTCAGTACAAAAGTTGTAATAATAGTGAAAAGCACATGTTTCAAAAGGACTGGAAGTATGAAAAATGCTTACCTTAAGTTTGAATTCAAGCTGGGGTAGAACAGAAAGCAAGAGATGACTGTCAATATTGTATAACTCCAGAATCAAGTCAAACACATGCTCTGACAGGTCACTAATTGATGTCTTCCCAAGCATCAGAACCTGATTGAAGAACTAGGAAGTAAAACAGAGTGTACATCAATAACAACAGTGTGTATATATGTGTATGTGTATAAACACACACACACACACACACACACACACAATTTTTCTAAATCTGAAGCCTGCCCACTGCTCAATCTATACCATAGTTTTACAGTTTAAAAGGGGAGGGGGGGGGGGGTACGAGGGTGCAGCAGAGAACAGATCAAGACTTTACAGCACATTATAGAAGATCTTGTAAATACATAATCTTGGTTTATGTTCAAAATTACATGTAAAGGAAAAAGCACAAGCAGTAACGTTTGCTTTACTACAGCAAGGCTACAAATGATTTCAGAAAGCTTTCAGCTGAACATCAGAAAAACATTCCTATGCAATCTCCTCTGAAACAGTAAGCTTGACAAGTGGGTTTGGAGTGAGAGTTTTCACTGGAGATACTTTTTAAATCTTAGAACATACTCAATTCCCAAGTACCACAGGTGTTAAAAGAAACCAACAAAAAGAATTCACAATTTTGCACTGTTTTCAAGCTCCTGAGGATAGCTTCCATCAGACTTACTAGATCTTTAACTACTTAAAAAAAAGCATTATTTATTTTCCCATTGTGCAACTTCATTCAAAAAATATTTATGTATGACCTCTCCTTCCTGTCTTCACTCTCCATGCACAATGCCTACGGATGTTCTTTGCTGTTGTTTTTCTTTGTTGTTTTGTTTTTACTACATTCAACTTGGCTATACTCTTCAACCCACTAATCACTTGTCCTCCTCACTACCTCTTCTTAGATTCTGTTTCCTCCTCTTTTTCTGAGAGGGAGACACTGAAGTTCTGCTGTCTTACCTTGTCATAGCTTCTAAATAGTCTTATCTCTTCTCCAGAACAAAACATCCACCACCAAAACAAACAAGCAAACAAAACAAACAAGCAAACAAAAGAAATCCATGCTTTGCTGCAAGCACAGTAAGAATATATAAGCACATTTGCTGGTGAAGAGTCCAGAAAACAAGTTCCAGGGAACTCGAGGGAATGGGATTGTTTAGTCCAGAGAAGAGGGGGCCCAAGGGATACTTTATCACTCCACAACTCCCTAAAAGGAAGTTGTAGTGAGGCGCGAGGTTTGGTCTCTTCTCCCAGGTAACAGCAGTAGGAGAAGAGGTAATAGCACTCAGTTAGGCTCTGGTTGGATATTAGGAAAAACTTCTCAGAAAGAATGGCAATGCACTGTAACAGGCTGCCAAGGGAGGTGATTGTTCCTGGAGGTATTCGAGAAACAAGGCATGCTGGGGATGGGCAGATGGTTGGACCAGAGGATCTCAGTCTTGTCCACACATAACGATTCCATGACTCTACTGTGTCTTCTGATCGGGTTAAGAATTAAAAGCAAGGTCCCTTAAGACAGCAGAAAGCGACTATTCACTCCATTTTAGAAAACAAAATTGTTAAGGACTGACTAGTTTCTATATGGTAAAGAAAAAGAGTCAAAGGGAGAGTATTTCAATAATTTAACAATTATCTCAAAGAACAATTATGAGTTTCTGAAGTCACACTGTTTTTCACACAGAGGTGGTGAGGCACTGGAACAGGTTGCCCAAGGAGGCTGTGGATGCCCCATCCCTGCAGGCATTCAAGGCCAGGCTGGATGTGGCTCTGGGCAGCCTGGTCTGCTGGTTGGTGACCCTGCACATAGCAGGGGGGTTGAAACATGATAATCATTGTGGCTCTTTTCAACCCAGGCCATTCTATGACTCTGTGACTTCTGGCAATTCATCCTTTTCATAACACAGCTTACTATTGGAAAATCTATTTCCTTATTTGTTTGCAGTCTTCACTTACATTTGTAATGTATGGTTCAATTGCTTGTGCTGTCCTCTTAAGCAAAGCCTTTGCCAAGTCGTAGGCTTGTTTGTTTAAATTCTGAAAAATAAAAACAAAAATTTTAAGTATATGAATTAGACTTAAAAAATAAACAGAAAATTTTAGATTTAGCATACATCAATGAACATATTAAAGGAACAGCATCTTTTCAATACTCTCAGGCATAAAGATAATACAGTCAAACCAAAACAAATCCAAATAAAGCTTAGAAAACTTCTCATAAATCAGAGCTTACTTTTCAGTTGCTCCTTCTAAGCCTGAATGCTCAACAATGTCAGTTCCTGCATTTTACTGTTGCTCAGCTTTGCCAAAAATTAGAAAAGCAATACAAAGTAACTTCAAGGCATTTACAGGCAACACTGATGCAAGACTCTCCACAAGAATGTAACATAAAGCAGAATCCTGCCCTTGAATCAAGTAGCTGCCTATTGATTAACATCACAGTCTCTCTAAAGTACCTCCCAGAGAGGTTTGGTATTTTGGCCTTCAACTTTAACCTATGAGTGTAAAGATGACAAGCTAACAAAAAATTAACAAACTAATAAACGGAAACAAAAGCTCATACTATTCCTCCTCCTCCATTCCTTTAATTAAGCTATTGCTCTGCCATCATTTCCTCCCTGGCCCACCACACACCATGCACATTTGCTGAGTCCTTTCTCCAATTTTCATATCACAATTATTTTCAAAACATTTTCAGAACAAAATGCAACCCAATTCTTGTGTCACCCACTGCAAACTTCACTGACACACTACAGTACTCGATACCAAAAACTATATATAAATGCTTAATAGTTACAAGTCTAAAAATACAATCCTTTCAATTTTGATGTTTTTGCAAAATAAAAATAAAAAACACAATAGTTTATTCACTAGAAAACAGTTTAAGAGGGTAATTTTGTTACAGAGCTCATCTATAAGGAAGTAAACTTTATTTTAGCATCATGAACAGCAAACAAGATGCACTGCCACACTCAGACATACGCAGGTAATGCATATGTGCAGTTCTGTGTAGCTATCTAAATGAAAAAGATTTCACAAAGAAATTGAGAGTATTAGGCCTGCAATTCAAAAAGCTGTACAGAAATGCAGGCTTCCAGACAGCAGTGGGAAGAGATTAACATTTCCTGTTAAAATAAAACAACAGAAGCCTTGCCTCCTGACAGCTAAGTCGAGTGACTGAAGTCAGAAGACAAGGAAGATCATGTCTGAAGCATTTACTTTACTCAGATCCAACAGGGAAAGGTGAACAAAATTGCCACTACTAGAAAGACACCAGAATTCTTACAGAAAATGCTAACAACAAGAATCACCAAAGCCCAGCCTGCAGTGAATCCTACCTCCTTGTGAATATCAGTGAGAAATAAAACACCCACACTACTTCCTCACTTTTGCAGAAACAGATCAGCTACAGGAAGACTGAAACATTGCTATCACATCACACCAGGAACAGAAGAGATATGAAATTAAAGCCATGCTGTAACAGAAGCAGTTCAGCAATCAAGTGTTCTTTGCTATTAATATTTTTGTGATTCTATAAAGTGACTTACCATTTGAGGTGGTATTTTCAGGAATAGCAGTTATAAAGTAACCAAAGGAAAGCCAAAGCATATTGGTAAAGTTACTGCAGTTTAAGTCTCTTCTTTGAGACGTGCTGAAAACATCCTAAGATGATCAGGACTCTCAGCAAAACGAAGCAAATGGTTCTAACACTGGCCTCAAAATGAGGTATCTCAGAGGTTGCCAGACATTGAAAATGAAAGGCTTCATTTCAGTCTTTTTTATTCACAATTTAAAATTTTGAGTACTTCTCTTCCTGAAGAAAAACAATCATCCCTAGTTTTTATCCTTGCAATATTTCCCCATAGAGAAATGAAAAGGGGACATAAGAGTCAACACCGGCAGTCTCTTTACAAAATTTGTCACTATTCCAAATGCCAGAAAAAAAAGGAGGTTCTAATATGAAAAAAATAAGAAAGTACTCCCACCTGCAGTATCTGCTTTTTTCTATTTTATCAGAATTGTGACTCTTCAGGAAATAAAACACATACACAGCCACAGTAAGAACTGTGTACCACTGGCAGTTACTGTTCCAATCCTTCTTGACTGCCACAGTTCACCACACCAAAGCCAAGACAGCAGCTTTCACCTGGGCAAGGGTGAACACTGTATCTTGAGCAGGATCTCATCTACATGCAAAACAGGTTCTGAACTGCAGTCTTAGCACAGCAAAGTTTCAAGAGGCAGATCTGTTTTGATTTACACTAATGACATTTTCCACTTGCATCTTTCACACAGCAGCTGATACTATGGAAGCTGCCATTTGCACAACTACTGATAACCAAAATGCTAAAAATTTAATAGAAGTTCTTGCAAGCAGCTGTAGGAAAGAACTGTCTAAAAGAACAGAGATCTTTCATAACTAAGCCATTAAACACCAGATCTCCCAATACGATAATGTTTGCTGGGATAAGGGCTAGAAGTAACAGTTTCCAACGCTGAGTAAATTACTCACGTTACACTCCATTCTATCTAAAAAAAATAAAAATAAAAATAAAGCTGCCAACAGGCAAAGGAAAGTTCTTTGCTGAAGAACTACCTTTTTCCTCCAAGCCTCATGAACTTAATTCTGCTGATAGCCAGAAGTCCTCAAATGTCCAAAAGCTGTATTTTTTTAAAATAAATGACAAAATGGGATGAGGTTCAACAAGGCCAAGTGCCGGTCCTGCACTTTGGCCACAACAACCCCATGCAGCGTTATAGGCTTGGAGATGAGTGGCTGGATGAGTGTGAGGAGGAAAGGGACCTGGGGGTGTTGGTTGATGCTCTGCTGTACATGAGCCGACAGTGTGCCCAGGTGGCCAAGAGGGCCCACAGCATCCTGGCCTGCATTAGAAATGGTGTGGCCAGCAGGAGCAGGGAGGTGATCATCCCCTGTACTCAGCACTGGTGAGGCCGCACCTCAAGAGCTGTGTTCAGTTTTGGGCCCCTCACTACAAAAAAAGACACTGAGGCTCTGGAACGTGCCCAGAGAAGTGCAACAAAGCTGGCGAGGGGTCTGGAGCACAAGTCTTATGAGGAGTGGCTGAAGGAGCTGGGATTGTTCAGTCTGGAGAAGAGGAGGCTCAGGGCAGACATTGCACTGTACAACCTCCTGAAGGGAGGCTGTGATGAGGAGCGGTTTGGGTTTAGGTTAGAAATAAGAACTTCTCCCAAAGAGTGGTCAGGCACTGGAATGGCTACCCAGGGAGCATTCCAGGACAGTTGCTGTCCCTGGCAGTGTTCAAGAGCCACCTGGATGAAGAGCTGCAAGATGTGGTTTAGAGGTTTGTGGTAGCAATGGTGATGGGAGGATGGTTGGACACGATGACCTTGCAGGTTGTTTCCAACCTTGCGATTCTATGATTCTATAAAGTTGTCTTAAAAGCACAGGAAAAAGTGCTCACCTCCCTTTTACAGCTTCAGGACAGAAGCAAAACCAGGAAAGCAGCATTGCCCCAGTTGAAATTAAAACATGAGCAAACTGAGGCAAAACAAAATTGATTGGAAGATGTTCAAGAAGCCTATCTTGTTAACTAATTTAATAGCCAAATTTAATAGCCATAAAGGTACTTCAATCTTCTCATGAGGGTTTAACCTTCTCACAAAAGAGAAACACCATTAGGTAAAATCTGACTTTAATTCCTTCTTTTCCTTACCTTAAGTTCTCGTATGGCATCAGTATCTTCCACAAGTGTAAAACTCAAGTTTTGTCAAGCCATTTTTTATACCTGTTCTCTTCCAGAATGCCTGAGTAACTTGTGCCACAGACAGAACACGACAGCAGGCTCTCTCACAGCATGGCAGGGACATTTCTGTGGTTATACAGGCAAGGCTCTCCAAGACAGTTTGCCAAAAACCAGTCATGTAGATACAATGGGTTTGGCAGTGGCAGAAATACAGACCTACTGATTTTTTTTCCCCAGTCACTTTTTCCAGTTGTCTCATCGAGTCCAATTTAACGCAGCTTAAAGCAATTAAGAATGAAAATAATTTGTACTCATATTTTAAAAGGAGAAAACAAGTGCAGGGCGCTCATCTTTTTCTTCAAAAAGGAAGTGCAGCTGGCATCAATCTAATCCTTACTTTTTACAACATCTAAATTTCATTCCTAGAGTTAAGGCTGTATATCTAGAGCAAATATTCCTAAAGAAATACATTTTTTTAAGTTTTTTTTTTTTTAATTTGAAAAGGGTATTCAATTTTATTCCTGCTAACCAAGGACACAGCAGGGGAAGTTGCATCCAAGAGCACTTTGCAAAGCAAATTTAAATGGATCCTCTAGATCTTGTGAGGGAGAAGGAGGAGACAGGTTTTTAAGGGTGGCTGACAATACAGAAAAAGCAGCTGAGGTGTTGCCAAGATAGATAGTACTAATTATTAAGCAAGTTTCTAATAGAGACAGTTAGGAATTTAATTGTCAATATCACTTTTCTGAGAAGATAAGCACGTTCATCATGTCAGATGTGCAGTGTGGGATTCCCTGTAGCACTCCTGAGGCTGAAAATGGAACAGTTAAACACTCCAGGAAATGAAGTACAATTTGCCTGCTAACACTGCACAAACACAGAACTGTTTACAGGTGCTAAAATAAAGACTTTATAATCTGAAAGGGGCAATTAAAAAACTATTAATTTGTCTTGCATTTTTATATTGACTACTTCTCCCTTGGTTCCAATATTTTCTGGGTTTAGTTCACTATTTACTTCATTGCCTTTTAATGTAATCCTATCAAAAGATTTCAATGGAATCTGTAGAAAGAAAGAAGAGCCAAACCAGAAAAAGATGGTTGAACAGCAAAGAAATTCAGAGGTGGGCAACAGTCCAAGAAATTGTGTTGTTCTATTATCTGATATTTGCTCAAGTCAGATGGAACATCTGAGACTACTTCAGTGATTACTAATTATGGCAGAGAGACATTTGATAACGTCCCATTCTCAATATGCATTCCTCTGCCTGAATTTTGCAGTCATCCTGCTAGCACCACTGTTTATTACTTGCTACACAGATCTACGGCTTGTATTCAGCACTTCTCTTAGGAAGAAAAAAGCAGCACTGACCTTGATTTTTAAGTACCGGTAAGTGAAGTAACGGTTAGTAAATTAGAAATTTAATTACTATAACTCTTAAAAACATTCAGGTAATTTTAGAATCAAAACCCAGCCATTGGACCTTAGCATCCAGGGTTCATAACTACAGAAACTGCGTGAACTTTCTCTTCCCAAAAGACACAGAAGGCTCCTTTGATAAAATACACAGATCAAGCTCCTTACGTTTTCAACTTAGTGCTACCCAGTGGAACTGCTCATACACCTGCAGTCATACCACCAGTACCATTACTGTTCCACAGTACAATCACCCAATTCACCCCACAGTCCCTCACGTGTACAACCATCCTCCTGGCTGTGTTGAAAATACAGTTTGCCCACGTCATTTGCAGTTAACATAGCTGCCTTACACCCAACAATTCCTCATCTAATCGTTTTCAAATCTGAGGTAGTAACAACTCTATGCTTCACTCACTCCATCAAAATTATTCTTTTGGTTCCCAGGGAATCCAACCAGACAAGGATTTACTATTTACCATCACACCAACAATTCCCATTGTGTCATTTTCAGTGGGCAATCTGGTTTTTGGACTTCCCCCCTCCTATAACCCATACAGCCCAGTAGACATCAATCAAAACTCTTGCCTTTGGCAGGCCTGAAACCTAATTGCTCTGATGTTTCATTAGTGGAAAGATTCTCACAATGAATTCATTACACACTTGCACCTCACCACTTTCTGCAGCCACTACACAAACTCTAAAATCTTACAATGTTATACACAGAAATAGAGATGAAACACAAATACAAGAAACTTCTTTCCATTAACATGAAAAAGGTTAAAAAAAAAACTTAAGTTTAAAGTAATCAGAACACAGACTAGAGTTACAAAACTGCTTCAGTTAAAAAGCAACCCATGAACAAGTACCCCATCCCAGCAGCCAGAGTTTTAATTAGAGGTAAGAGAAAATACAGAACTCCAATTGCCTTTCCTATTCAAACATTCCCAGTCCGTAACTTTAAATCCACTAGGAAACAAAACTGTTTCAATGCTGGAGCCAAACAAACAGCATACAAATTACTCAAAAATCTTGATAATAAACTTGAATCGTAAGGACAGTGCAGTCAAATCATTTCAACACACATCACACCATGAAACAAATAGCAAATGTCTAACAACTGAAACAATGCAAATTGAAATACTTTGCACACTCCTGCTTTTGTTTCTTGTATTCCACGGTTTTATTTTGTGAATCTGAGTTTTAGCCACACAATTTTCATTTCTGGCACAAATGTACTCCCTGGAAGACACAACTAGAAAACTTCTCCAGTTGAAACAAAACCCAAGATTATCCTAAATGGTCTTTCATTGTCAACAGAAAAATAAATCATGTGCTGCACAAAACACTGAGCATCTTACAAAAAGTTTATTCAGATTCTCCAGATACATCAACATCCCTCAGTTCACTGCACTCAACTCACTCAACTCCAACACTTTTTAGAAGTAACAACTAAAAAAAAAAAAAGCATCTTCACTGAATTTTTCAGGAAAAAAATAAGCTGTCAGGTGATACTATTCCAAAAACTATCCCAAATCCTGCTAAGTACACAATTCCTACATAATTTCCCAGAAGTTCTCAGAGTCTTACAAGTCTTCTTGACTGTAACCTAACAGATTTCAGCAAGACCTGGCTAGTTTTCAGAATAAAAGGTCTGTTAAAGGTCTACAGTTAATTGCTTCTCACAGTTAATTGTACAATTTATTTTTAATCATTTTTTATTTGAAAACCAACCACCACTACTCATTAAGGTAAGACAGCCACTGTTTCTGAACACAATTATTTCTATGACTGTGTAAAAAACATGCCAATGTGCTTCTAATGACCCCCCTGCTCAAGACAGCACAATGTTTTGAATGGCTGATACAGCATTACACTAATTGAAAGCTTTCCAAAGGACACATGCTCCTTCCATACAAATGTCTGGCAGCATTGGCCATGTATCATAAGCTATGCATAAATTCATATGACATTAAAGCTTTAAAATGACTTTAACTGCTATTACTTTGGCTTATGCCACATGAGTCAAAGCAATAAAGTGATATTAAATTTCATACTTATTAAAATTGGTTAACAAAAAGATTATATCAAATAATAGGAACATACTTGCTACAGCTATTCTATCAGCAAAATCTAAATATCTGAATACAAGACAAATCTTAAGAACGATTACAAAACAGTAACTCTTACCTTATGTGCTGGCACTAGGTTAACTAACACTGTATCCAACAGCTCCTGTGACACAGTATCTCCCTCACAAATGATAGAGCTCATTAGATCAACCATGTGCATATGTACTTTTTGGTTATGTCCATTGCTGAAATCAAAAACAAGAATGCTCAGTGTACTACCCACATAAAGGACAAAGTTTTAATCAGAATATTTTCCAAGATGATAACAAATCACAGATTCACAGAATCACACAGAATCACCCGGGTTGGAAGGGACCTCAAGCATCATGTACTTCCAACCCCCCTGCCTAGCAGGGCCACCAAACGTACACATTCAGATCAGGTTGCCCAGGACCCCGTCCAACCTGGCCTTGAACACGTCCAAGGACGGGGCATCCACAACCTCCCTGGGCAGCCCGTTCCAGGGCCTAACTACTCTCCTTGTGAAGAACTTCCCCCTAACATCCAACCGAAATCTTCCCTCCTTCAGCTTGGATCCATTTCCCCTAGTCCTGCTGTTGTCAGCCCTTCTGAAGAGTTTACTCCCCTCCTGGGTGTAGGTTCCCTTCAGGTATTGATAGGCTGCAATGAGGTCACCCCGCAGCCTTCTCTTCTCCAGGCTGAACAAGCCCAACTCCCTCAGCCTGTCCTCATAGGGGAGGTGCTCCAGCCCCCTGATCATCTTAGTCGCCCTCCTCTGGACCCTTTCCAAGATCTCCATGTCTTTCTTGTACTGAGGGCTCCACACCTGGACACAGTACTCCAGATGGGGCCTCACAAGAGCCGAGTAGAGAGGGACAATCACCTCCCTGTCCCTGCTGACCACCCCTCTCCTCACGGAGCCCAGGATCCCAGAAAACAACCCATGGAATACCAATAACAATAATCAAATTACAAGTGTTTTTTTAGAACTACTGAAGTTTCTGGACCGCATGCAGTACTTTTCATGGGGTTCATTCATTCTCAAATCTCATGCCCTCGTTTACAACTGTACTAGAAAGGATCGTATCAGTCCCCACCACAAGAATAAGACAGAATACTAAGAAGTTTTTCTCCTCTACTCAACACAGTTGAGTTCACATCTGGAGCACTGTGTCCAGTGCTGAGACATAGATGCTGCACTGCAGTCAGTCCAACAAAGGGCAAGAAACATGATTTCAGACTGGAACAGCTTCATAAAAGAAGCAGTTAAGACAGATGGCTTTTTTTTTTTTTTCAGCCTCAAGAAGCAAGGGTTCATGGAAAACTTGTTATATTTAAATACCTGATTTAGGAAGTAAAGATGTCAAAACCAGACTCATCTCAGTAATGTCCAGTGACAGGACAAAAAGCAATGGGAATGAGTTGAATGCTATTCAAATGGTAACACCACTTAAACATACGATATTTTATTAATTTCCTAAGTGTGAATGAACACTATTAACAGCTTGCACCAAGAGGCCACTGACCCTCCATCTTTGAAGACAAGCTGGGCTAGCTGACCCTGCTGAGCAGGGAGGGGTGGACTAGATGATTTCCAATTGTTCCTTCCAGCGTCCACTATCCTGTGTGCCACATTTTTACAGCAGGAATCCTCCAGTTCTCTTATATTCTCTTATATTGTATCATTCACCTTCAGTTTCAAGAAAAGGGTCAAATAAATGCAGTAAGAGAAAATGAATGCAACTTTCTCAGAAGAAAAGAATTTGCTGTGTATCTTGTTTAATTAAAGCATGTGAACTGACACCTACTTCTAGTTAAACTGAATTGGAGGTTAAACTGAATTGAAAATTAAGCTTATGAATGCTTAAAGCCTAACAACAGGTTGAACATCTAAGTTGGAAACGACTTCTCAATCATGCAATAATATATTTGTGACAATACTTACTTTATTACTGAAAACAGTGTCCTGTACAGCTGTGTGAAAATCTCATTGCTGTCTTCTAACTCAAAACATATGTTATAAGACTTCACCCAAGCAATGTTCTAAGTTGAAAAGGGAAAAAATAAAGCAGTTAAAAGATAGAGTTTAAAAATAGCATTTAAACTTCATATTAAGGTATCAAGCTTACCTCAAGTAAATAAAAATATCGATTGAATTGGGGGCTTTTCGTATCTTCTAAACCCTTAAGTTGCCTTGTTATGAACATAAATATATCCTGAAAAGAAAAGAAGTTACATTTAATCAAATGACACTTAAAACTATAATAAACTACCTTTTGAAATTATTAATACTATTCTTCAGTAAAAAATACATAGTAACAACAGAGCCACTATTTTACTGTCCTGAAAGAACGAGATCTACAAAACATCTCAAGGAGTCATCTTAAAACACTTCAAACTTTTTACAAAAAGAATTGAGAAGTTTCATTTTTCTGAGGAAGCAAAAGGATTTTCTTTTCCAAATAAAAACAGACAATTTGATAAGTAAAGCTGCAGTTGGCTCACATGCCCTAGAAGACAATGTTATTCACAAGGACAATGAATTCTAAATTTGTACCTTATGCTGCAATGGGTTTGAACAGGAGAAAAGAAGAAATAAAGCAGTAGCCAACTGGAGCTTTCCTAAGAGCACTACAATACATTTATACCACAGCATTCGTGCATTTTTCCACCACAGTGCTACTGACAGACCACATCTCTCATAAAAGACCTTCAAAAACAACAAAGTTTCTCCTGCTTTCCGTATTTATTTTCAGCACAGAAAACATCAAAAAACATCTCTCAAAATAAATCCAGGCAGGTTGTAAGGAACAAGCAATCAATTAAGAACAAAATGGAAACAGAGGAAGGTACTCTGCTTAAACTCATCCTTTTAAACTACTTCTTATATTTGAATAAGGAATAGCTAGAAATTCCTAGCTACTATTTTAAATCGAAAGACTGAGGAGTACACATCATCATCATCATCTAGCAACAGTGTTCACAGCCCCAAGCATATTCCTAATAATTTGGGTACAATTTAATTATAAATTGTATAAACTTGCCATTATAAATACATGAAAGCCTCACAGTTCACCATGAAAAGTTCCCTTAGAAGAAAGGAATTGTGATCTACAAGCAATTTTCACATTAAGTTGCCTAAATACACAAGAAAAGCTCATGAGCCTCTCCCACACGCTTAAGATTAGAAAGCTTTTCTGTTACGTTTTCAGATGACCATTCCACCTTGCCCCCAACCAAGAATGATGAGATGGAGTGGAGATGAGAATATAGTTCCATTTTTAAGGCTACAAGTACAAAATCCAGCCTTAATAGATAAGCCAAGCATTTACTGCTCTAGGTAATAAACAGGAATTAGAATTCACATCACCACCACTTGGTAAAAAAAAAAAAAATTAATAATAATAATTCTAAAAGTACAAGAAGCATGTGGCTCAAAGATGCAGCTTTGTGGAATTGAAGAAGACTTTAGCTTTGATGTGTTAACTAGGGATGATTAGAGGAGTTGCCATTTGGTTCACGCTTCAGATCAGTTACAGAGCACACGAATCACTCTGTGGTTGAAATTAAACCAGAATACGCAGTTCAAAGGGTGCACCTTGTGGACTCCTACCACTAAAAAGCATTCAGTCCATAGACAAAGACCAGCCTGAAGGACTCCCTCCCAAAGGCAGTGCCTGAAGCACTACTAGGCCAGTAGCCCACGGGCAATGAGCTCTGTTATCTGAAGAACTGACAGGCCAGAAGGCACTGGGCAGTCTGGCAGCCACACAAACTGAATCTCAAGGAAGGTTAGAATTCAACCAAACAAGAGAAGGAGCATCTAGGAGAATGCCAAATATAAGAACTACTTCATTTTAGAGATCACTCTTTATGTATAACGATTCTTTTTTTTTTAAAGCATTACTTGTAAAAGTTGTGTTAATTTAGCAAAGAATCTGTATTTTTAATCCTGCAGCTCAGTACACAGCATTCAACAAATTGCAGACTGCAATGAGATCAAAACTAGTTTTCCTGGTTTTGTTTGCACTGTATATGAATATAGACACTAATGAATACTGTGCAGTAAGTCTAACATCTGAATGCTTCACAAATAATAAAGTCTGAAAAAACTAACACACGTATTCCTTTCTTCCCCCTCAATTCCTGTTTTAAAAGGCAAACTAAATTGAAATATAACTGCCAATTTTAAGTACCCGTTGTGTCATGACCCAAAGCTTTTTCTTTTTCTGAGCACAGAGTACAGTATTTGAACACATTTGTACACACAAAGCACAGGATAAATCGACTTTGGCTGCAGCTCAGAAATCACAACACTTCCACAAATTTGTCACTACTCCTCCACATGGTAAAGCAGGCACACATTACAACCCCAACTTCAAAACCACAAGTGTGCATGCTTCAACTTTAGGAAGAGTATCAGATGTTTTCTGTGGATTGTTGTCTTGATACAAATTAACCAGACAAAGGCTTCAGCGTGCATCAGAGCCATAGCCTGCAAAACAGCATACATTCAGATGCTCGACATTCTGCTGCTACACACACCCTCACCTATTTCCATTTTAGCTGTGTCAAGCACACCATCCCTAAGCCTAAGCAGTTCCCTTTGACATAAACCAGCGATTACAATACCTCCACCCCAGAAAATTAGAACTGGGCTCCAGGCTTTCCCCAGCCTTCACTTAAAAGTTTTCATATCCCGGAGGAGCAGCCCTACTCCAGTTCTGCTTTTACCCAGTTCATGGCATTTTCCATCTCTATTGTTAAAGACCTTTCAACACTTAGTGAGGCATTAAAGATTTATGCTGAGGATACACATAAGAGAGGGGGACCACAAATCCTGACCCCTTTTCTGTGGAGCTTACACATTGTGCAAATGAGATAAAGAGACGTATGAAGTCAGAATAAAAACCTCAGATTGATGTTTTCCCCTCTCCAAAAATTAACCATTTCAGCACTTCCCTTTTTCCATCTTCACTTTGGATGCTATACTTACAAAAGAAGATTCTGAAAGCTGCACTATAGGCATGATGTTAAACACTAGATAAAAATAGTGCCAAGATAAAACCCAAGAGGAAGCGTTCTTCCTCTTACCTCTTTGTCTTAAGGTGGAGGGAACTCTTCAACATATGTATCAGAGCTTGTCCTGCAACCACAAAAGCTGTGTTCAGCGGAAACTGGGGTTTGCAATAATCTACCTCAACAGTCCCAGGCAAAGGTCTGCCGTTTGCCCTGTCTTTATTTCTCAAAATGTATTTAGAAATGTGCATCAGGAGTTCTAAAATCTACACAGATTACAGAACAGGATGCTGACAGAGGAAGCCTGTAGTCTGTTCAGAGATCTAAGCACTAGTAGCATGATTACACTGTAAATAAAAGATCAGTAATGTAAACTTCCCAATAATAAAATGTAAATCATCGTAGTACTTGACAGATGAAATTCTGTATGGAGGGTTAGTACCATTTGTTAGCCAAACTCTGAAGGGAAAAAAAAAAAAAAGACCAACAAGCAAGCAAAGGAAAACACACTACTCAAAACTGAACTGAAAGTCTGGGAAACTTAACATCAGACAAAGTCCAGTAGAGAAAGCTCGTTTGTCTGAAGCTGGAGATGAAGTAATCAATAAAAGAGGTAACTTGAGCAAGTATGAGCAGAGGCACAACAATTCAGAAAAATACAGCTTGTAAAAATCCCCAGGTTTCTCTCCAGCATGTCAGGTAAGAAAGCATCAATTTCAATTGCAACTGTAGTGTTGACCTTGCTTAAGAAGCACTTTCAACATAAGCACTAGATCAGAAACAGAGTGATTTCTCCCACTGTAACAGACACACCTGTCACCCCAACAGTTCATTTATCCTACCATGGAAGGGGAATGTGTCTGTACTACACTCGTAAGTCAGGGAGATAAAATGTGGTGGTTTTCAGCATTATTTTCCCCTGCAATATTTTCTGTATAAGTCATTTCATTAGTCTAGACTCAAACTGTATAAGTGAAGTGGGTTTGATTTTCTAAGCCAGAATGAAAATTAGACATCTATTAAAATAAGAGTTCAAATACAACAAAAAAAGCAACGTAAAATGAAAAGTCCTGAAACAAACAGGGCAGATCTCTATTGCCTTTTCAAAGTTGGCATTTCTCAATCAACCATCTCCATCTAGTGGGATCAGCAATGTTTGTAATGCCTGCATTTTCCAATTCACATCAGAAAGTTTCTCTTTAGACAGAAGTATTTTGTTTCAATAGGGCTTATATATAGACAGAAATCCTGTATCCATCTCTTCGTAGTCGAACTGGAAACAACAGACATGTTTGTCTGAGTGAAAGCATTAGCTATCTTGAAAGATATCACAATAAAAGCTATAGATAGAAGACTAATTCTGAAGTAACAGGCCAGTACTAATGAGTCCTAAAGACAGATCAGTAAAACATCTATTTCCAATATAAATCCAAATCCCCATGAGTTATTGAAAGCTGTACTATACATCACTTTGTCCAGTGAGCTTCTGACCTCACAGAATATCCTTTTTCAAGGATCATGTGAAAGCCCTGGACAGCTCAGGCTAAACCAGAAATAAACAGAGCAAAAGAAGTTATAACCAAACATTAATCATTCAGTTGGAAAATTAGGCATGGAAAATAAAAGAGATTAATTCTATTTACCTTTAGTTTGTCTGGTGAAGTGTATGGAGCTTCGGGGGCATAAATTCTGAAAATATCAGCAAGGCAACAGGCTACCAGCAAACGCACGTCTTTGTCAGGATGCTTGAGGAAAAAATCTGAAGCAAGATGTAAAGCAAGATTTAGGTACAGCTCCTTTTCTTCTTCAGAGTCCTGGTCCATATCCATGAAAGTTTTCACAACCATCTGTAAAGAAAGTGTGAAAAGACTTCAATACACACAATGACAAAATGCACAACATCTATCAGAAGCAATGCAGCTGTAATTGTTTGAATAACAGTAGTAAACCCAGTGCCTTATTTTTCAGGCTATGAGATTAGTCAAATTCTCTGCCAACTATCCCAACGGACAGCCTCAGGGGTGACAAAAGTCCAGCAGTAGGCTTCTGCATGTACTTTGAGCAAATATGTCACCAAATCGACCAGAAAACAAAGATACAGAAGGAATCACTGAACAATCTGGAGAACAGCAAACCTTTATTCAAATTGTGCATTTCTCCCTTAAGTATTTAAGTTTCCAATGTATTTTTTTCCTTTTACTTTTTTTCAGTTTTCCAATTTTTTTTTCTCTTCCTATTATCTTCAACACCCGCAACACAAGAAGTAATTTTACGAACAGCAAAGAAAAACTGTGTTCACCTCTATGGAAAGTAATTAAATTTATATATTTAATAAGGTAACAAATGAATACTCAAGTGTCACAAGTGTTCCTGCAACAAGCATACATTTTGTCATTCTAGAAATGAACCTTCCATTTCTCTTCCCTAACAAGATGAAATTCCGTATTGATAAAAAAATGTAGTCAGCTTTTCTCCAGAGCAAATCTGTCACAGCACTTAAGGAAAACAAAGTAAAACAAGACAGTTTTCTTAGCACGCTTTTCTAGTTTCTGGCAAAGCAATGAGTTACAGAATTCCTGAGCCTGAAATTGCACCCAGACCACCTTGATTTACGCCCCTGGAGCTTCCACATGTGGTCCACATTTCTTCACCCACTCAGTTTTTCTGGCTCCTACATCCTCCTACAGTAACAGGCTTTATCGTTTTGTTTCAAATAATTTATGGACAAGTATGCTATTAGATCGCTGGCGTAAAATATGACTCATGCCATGATCCCTCAGCTCCTGCATATTAAGAAAAACTTTCCTCACAATATTCACCATTTCCAAAAACATTTATCACCTTTGCCTTTTCAGTCCCTATCTCTGAGCATTTGTTTTCCCTTCCTGCTTTCCAAACTCACTATAACTTGGAGGACAGGTTGATCAGCAACACAACTTGCCAAGTTATGCTAATATATGAATTCGTTCTGCATATTTTATTCTCAGACTGCACAATAATTTGTGTTTAGGTAAATGGATTGTCTCCACTTAACAAATAGCAAATTACCTGCTTGGAATTGCAAAATCTACAGAGGAGAGAGCTTCTTCCTCCATACTTATGTGAATTCAGCAGAGAGGGAAATGAGAAAGTTAACAGTCTTTATCTGTAAACTTGTTTTCCTTAGCTCCTGCAACTGTGTTTATAATGTATGTGCACACACTTGTGGTGTTTTCAACAGCCTGGATCATCCAATTCAGTACAAGGAGGACACGCAGTTCACTGTCTGCGTAACCATGAATGCAAAGCCAGCATGAACAGCTGGTCAAGAAACATGACATCCTGCAACATACATTTATCCTGCAAAATTGACGATTCAAGGACTAGAAATACACGCCAGCAAGTGAAGATACAAGAGAAAAAATATCAGTAAGAACTATAGGCATTTTTAAGAGCTAAAAAAGCAAAGTCAGCACTATCATCTTTACCTATGATTGACTCCCAGCAGGAGAAATTATGAACATTGTATTCTATTAAACCTAGTAGAATGCACTACAATACCCATCAATTAAATTCCCAAGGAACAGAAAGGTTAATGCTGGAGGAAGGAATCCTTTGGGGTTTCTAATTGTTTTGTTCATTTACTAGTAATACCAGGCAACCTGCACTTCAGGAAAATTCCCAATTAAGCTTTTCCAAATCACAGAATGTGTAAGGTACTGCTCCCAGACCTGTTTCTCATAGCAAGCCCATGTGATGGGCTTCCCCTCTGCATTACACTAATAAGTCTGCCATTCTGTCAAAATACACGGGTAGATCAAGAACAGGAGCAACATCATTATCCACCAAGTATTTCCATTCTTTCTGTAGGGTTAGGCCAAAGAAACTGGTCAAGAAAAATCAGGAAACTTAGTATACATTTACACTAATAATCAAAGTCTTTATTATTCTCATATTAGCCTCTATAAAGCAGGTTTTATAATCAACCTTGCAAGGAGCACAAATGCTTGTATGGAATTTATTCTGATGTATCCGCATTCTTTCCAAAATTAAGACCCACCCCCTTTCACATTTTCCAGTATTTTTGTCTCTAAAAGCACTGACTTATTGTACAAGTGAAATAAAATTTAAGTATATGAAATTATTATTACATATTTTTTTTAAACTCTTTCAAATATATTTGGACCAGTTATTGCAGGAAAGCAATCAACAGAAGGCACAACAGCCAACAGCTTCCTCCTTCCAAGCATAGAAAAAGTTTTGCCCAAAAGAAAACATGAATAAACATCACGGAGTTACTGGTAGCGTTTTTACTAACCTTTAGCCTTCTCACCATCTCTTCTTTAGATATTTTATCAGAGATTTCTTTGACTCCTGGAGGATATGTGATTTTCCCATCATTGGCTCTCGTCTTTGAATGAGCCATGATTTCACAATTTTAAAACTGTGAGGGAAGAAGAAAAAAAGAGTCAGTATTAATTATCTACTTTATGCTTACCTTTTCTGTCCTGCTTTTAAAAGCAACTGTTTAGATTTGAAGGGTCAAAATCCCATTAAAACGTTACAGAAATAAAACTATATAAGTGAATAGAAAATTGACAAAATAGACTTTTTCTTCAGATTGTAGCTGGCAGCAATGGTTTTGACATTCAAGTCGACTGTCCTACAGTACAATAGAACTTCCAAGATGTACACAACTGAAAAGTCCAAACCCTTCGTTCCTGAATGTGTTTGATCATCACACTTAGAGATGCAACCAAGTAGCCTGTTTGAACTGTTACAGCCACTTGTTGACAATAAACTCCAGCCAGCACAGATCTTACACTCTCTGAATACAGACATCTAGAGTGAACTTTATTTAGAAAGCATAATTAAACCATAGAATCACTCAGGTTGGAAAAGACCTTCAAGATCGAGTCCAACCACCACCTAACCATCCTACCCTAACTCTAACAACCCTCTGCTAAATCATGTCCCTGAGCACCACATCCAAACGGTTTTTAAACACATCCAGGGATGGTGACTCAACCACCTCCCTGGGCAGCCTATGCCAGTGCTTCACAACCCTTTCTGTAAAGAAGTGTTTCCTGATATCCAACCTAAATTTGACCTGGTGCAACTTGAGGCCACTTCCCCTTGTCCTCTCACCTGCCACCGGTGAGAAATAGAGCACAATTTCCGCAGAAGTCTAAAGAGCAGTGCTTCAGAAGTGCTATGCATCAACAATTTTAATTTGCAGATACTGCATTTTCAAAAAGTTTTATCACACCCTGAAGAGAGTGATAGTAATCTAGATAAGCAATCTATAAGGGAATGCAGTAGGCACAGGAACAGAGAAAGCTCATTGGAAGCCATTCCTCTATGCCATAAACCCAAGTTCTTAAACAAATAAGTGCAAATGAGCAACAATATCTTATTCCTAAATTCCAGTTCTAAAGACAACTCAGCTATTCAGTCCCTTAATTTGTGCTTCAATCATTTCAGTCACCTAATCCATCCTGAACTATGCAAACTTCTATTGCAGTAGAGAAAGAAGATGCACATTACTCTTCTACTTCAAGACTGAAAGCTGTATTTACATAAAGCAATTAATAAAATCAGACAACAGTGAATAAAACTAAATGACACACGTTGGGATAATTTATTTTTTTTAATAGATATCATGCAAACGCAGCCAAGAATGCAAAAATAAAAATAAAGGAAACTTTTCTCTCTCATTACCTTGCCCCCACCCCATTTTATTAGTCTGAAATACTTCCTCCCAGTGTTTGCCTTCCTGAACTGTGCAATCCAAATGAGGCATTTTTTTCCTACTAACCTCAAATATAAGACATAGAACTCCTCAGAACCATAACAACAGAACTGACCAGAATTTGCAAGGAGAGACAACACAGTAGTAGGTCCCATAAGAGGACAGCATAACCTGCCACAGTTGAGACACACCTAAATCAATGTCATCCTACAATGAAAGAAAACTGGAACATGAAATAAACTCACCCTCCCATGCCCCAAACACCCCAACCCATTCTGTACCCCTTGGTTCACATTTCAAGATGACAAAGTAAGTTACAGGTTTTTGCTTATCCTTCAGTAAGCTTTCATCAAACTGCTGCTTGTAAAGAATGCACACAGTATAACTTTTATTTTAGGAAATGGGGAAAATGAATCAAATGAACATAACCACACATTTCACCAGAAAGTTAACAGCTTTTAAGAAATATCTGGGACACTAAGCATGAAAAAGAAAGCCCTAAATGATGCAATTATCCACTTTTCTTTACTGAAAGAAAAAGGTCATTTAAGGCCACAGCTAAGAGCTGACAACTGCAACTTATTTTACAGTTCTCAGTTCAAACACCAAGGTTTGCTATTCGGTGTAACAAGCAGGAACAAAGACAGGTGTATTTCAGTATAAAAGGTCATCAACAAGTCATCACGAGATTTATTTACTTTTTCATCCTTCACCTGCACATCTCTGGGTAAAGCTGCTGAGCTCACTTCCCACATCATCTATTATGTAAGCCACGTACCAGTGTCACCTCGCCTTCCAACATACAAACTGAAGGCACTTGACAGGCATGATATGCAATGCAATTCAATAGCTACACAGCAGCCAATGCTGTTTGTCTTCTCTTTGTACAGACATCTGCAGGGCAGTTGAAATGACTTCTACTTACACTCATAGTAAAAGCAGACAGTGAGAAAGTTGGGGGATGAACAAAACTCAGTTAAGTAACTTTTTCTAATACTCCCAGGAAAAGGTGACACCCCTCCAATTCCTATTGTATTTCTTAGTGTACTGTCAAGACAGTAAGCCTAGAACTCCTCAAAAACATAAAAACAGAGATATGACCAAGTTTACTTTTCTTGCTGTTTGATGTAGATCCCCCATTGCACCTTCCAGACGGGATGCTATACACGATGCAAACACGTATCTTAACAGTTCACCATAGCAGACAGGAGCCTTGCTGCCTTCACTCTAAGAATACTCTGACAGCATTCAGTGCTTTCCTGGACCAGCCAAACTCACCAATTCAAAAAAAGAAAAAAAAAAAAAAAGCCTAATTGGTTTTGAAAAGCATGTGACATGCATCAGAGCCCATTCAAAGGAAGGAACAGGAATTAAGGGAACTGGGGATCAAAACCTCCCCTTTCCAGTGTCAGGCAGCTGTCAGATCAGATCAACTCGGTTAAAATTTGATTAGAATATGGTGACATAGCCCCATTTAGAGCACTAAGAAATAATTTAAGACAAACTTGTACATTGTGGTCAAAGTTGAACTGTTTGGCTGACACGTCCTACTGACACACAAAACAAGCTTTTGGCAACCAAGTTCCAACATGGAACATCTGCATTTACATGGCAAGGTTTTGGTAGAAGAGGATGGCAGAACTGGCCTCTGTGAGATGAGATGGCTGCCCCCACGTTGGCCAGAGCCAGCTCCAGACAGCTCCAAAAGGGACCCATCGGCCAGAGCCACACCAACCACTTGCTCTGATGGCTTCACTGTGAGAGTGCATTTAAGAAAGGGTAAAAACCATCACACAGCTGCTGCTGTGTGAGAGGAGTAAGGGATGGGAAAACCAGGAAGACAGAAGCAGCCCTACAGCCCCCAAGGTGAGTGCAGAAGGGGACAAGAGGTGCTCCAGGTGCAGAGCAGCAGCTTCCTGAAGCCCACATAAGGCCTTTGGTGGAGCAGGCTGTCCCCCTGCAGCCCATGGGCACCACACAGAGTGCATCTCCATGTGCAGAGGGCAGAAGCGGGTCCCAGGCCAGAGCTGCAGCCCACAGAGGACCCATATTGATGGATTTGTTCCTGACAGGAACAGACTGCATGCCATGCAAAGCTCAGGAAGAACTGCCGTCAGTGGGGAAAGACCTGTTTGGAGCAACTGAAAAAGAAGAGGAAGGAGCAACAGAAATGAAGCATTATGAATAGACCACAACCCTATTCCCACCTCCCTTGTGCCCCTGGATGGGCAGGTGTGGAAAGGAGGACGAAGAGTCAGGAACAAAAGGAGTGAAGATGAGACTGCAAGAAGGCGGCATGGAGGGAGGAAGGTGACATAGTTATGTCTGTGTTTCTCATCATCCTGCTCTATTTATAATTGGCAATCAATCAGCCTCCCCCTGGTTAAGTCTGGTTTGCCTATGACAGTAATTAGTCAGTGATCTCTCTGTTTTTATCTCAACCCATGAGTTTTCCATTCTTACTCTAACCCCCTGTTCAGCTTAGGAAGGGGACTGAGAGCAGCATGGTGCGCAGCCAGCCAAGGTCAACCCACCACAACATCCCACACCATCAAAAAAGCAATTACTGCCAAGATTTTTCTTCCTCAAGAAATACAAGTTCAACTGGAAATTATCAAAATGAACCACTCTGTTTAGTTAGAAGGAATGGTCAGCACTTTTTGAATTAAAACCACTTTGTCCAATTTGCCTCCTCCAAGGAACTGACTCTGAAATTCACAATGCACGACTTCCACCACTGCAGGGCAGCACAGCTTTCTGTAGCACAGCAGTACTGATCAGGTTGGAGCTGCCTTTCCATTGCAAGTTGAGATTCAGAAAATACATTACAAGATATAGGTGCTAGATTTTTGGTAGGAACAGGTGTATGTAGGTGCTGGGCCAGCAATAATTTTAATTTAGCCTCATTTTGCACCTACAACAAATAATAAAGCCTGACAAGTCTACAGTTGAATATTGTACATAACAACATATAAAGGGAGCATATAAATAGGAGAGACAGTGGTTGTTGACAGTGATAAGCCAAGGGAGAATGCTTTTAAAATGAGACGGGAGCTTTAGGTTAGATATTAGGAGGAAGTTTTTCACTCAGAGGGTGGTGATGCACTGGAACAGGTTGCCCAAGGAGGTTGTGGATGCCCCATCCCTGGAGGCATTGAAGGCCAGGCTGGATGTGGCTCTGGGAAGCCTGGTCTGGTGGTTGGTGACCCTGCACATAGCAGGGGGTTGAAACCAGATGATCTTTGTGGTCCTTTTCAACCCAGGCCATTCTATGATTCTATATTCTGAATGAACCTAGCATTTCAAATGTGAAATGCACTCCTTATGTAGAAAGCAGTGGGACAATTTGAGCTGAGATACTGGATGCTGCTTCTTTCAACACAGAAGCATTGCTGCTACTATGCCTTGTAGACATGAAATCAGGAGACGCATGAGCAAGTCTCTATGTCTGAAGAAGCACATGGCAAAACGGGTGCATACAGAAAATGCTAACAACTTAAAAAGTGATTTTCCCCTTGTTGGATACAGAAGAAAGGGAGTATATAGAAAACTACTGCAAGAAAAGCAACAGAATTGATAAAAGATACATTCTCTGTACAAGGATAACTGGAGAATTAAAGCATTAAGAATTGAAGATGCATTCATGCATTTATTGCACACTGAAACAGAATGGATTAATCATCCATTTCCTG